CTCCTCCTCCATCTCCTCCTCCTCCCTCCTCCTCCTCCTTCTCCTTCTCCTCCTCCTACTCCCTGGAGGTTGGCAACCCTACCCTGGACTTTCCTTAATCATGTGTGTAGTTCCATTTCTTCTTCAGACTTTCCTTCTTCCCAGGAGGTATGAGAAGAGAGATATGCCATTCAGGTCAGCCTTCCATGGCAGCCATTTTGGATTTGACTCCTCTCCTGTGGCAGCCATTTTGGGGTGGTGCTCAGTGCTCACCACCACCACCCCTCAAAATTCCAAAAGTGCCTGCAGGCTCGAAAGGGTTAGGGACTCCTGTCTTCGAGTGACATGCTCGCCGCCACATCGCGCTGGCTCTCCTGACCGCGTGTGTGTGTGTGTCTCCCTGCCAGATCCGTCCCACACCACCTGCCTGACCGAAGCCTGCATCATCGTCGCCAGCAAAATCCTGGAGGCCCTGGACCGAGACACCCACCCCTGCGACGATTTCTACCAGTACGCCTGCGGAGGTTGGATCAAGCGGAACCCGCTGCCCGACGGGCGCTCCAAGTGGAGCACTTTCAACAGCATTTGGGATCAGAACCAGGCCATTATGAAACACCTGCTGGGTAAGGCGCTGCTCCTTTCCCCGGAGGGCAGATCTGGCTTCCTCTTCAACTGGGAACGGGAGAGGAGTGCTTCATTCCCTCGGGGAGCCAGCCATCCTGTAAAATTGCCACGCCGGGGTCCTCGGGGCTCTTCAGCCTTGGCCACGGGCTGACGGGCTGGGTGTTTCTTTTGCCAGAGAACGCCAGTTTCAACTCCACCAGCGAGGCGGAGAGAAAGACCCAGCGTTATTACCTGTCTTGCCTGAAGGAACAGAAGATCGAGGAGCTGGGCTCCCAGCCGCTGATGGATCTCATTGAGAAGGTGGGCCCGGCCACGGACAGGAGACGGGAAGGGAGGGTCTCTGTCCAGAGAGTTAGGCCATTTGGACCGCGGGGCAGTTATTTTATGTTATTTAATCTTGGAGGGGCCACCAGGGTCATCTAGTCCAGCCCTCTGTCAACACAGGAACTGCAAATATAACATCCTTAAAAAGTAGGTATCCGGTCGATTCTTTAAAATAGAGCTCCCCAATGTGGGATCGAGAACCACAAGGGTAAGAAAGAAGTCAAATAGAACGCCAATATTAAAAACCTAGTCGAAACTTATAGGATACAAAAATACATGTATTTATTAGAAAGACAGTTAAAAACATATAAGAGCCCAATGAAAGCCTCGTAAACAAGCAAAGGTGGCCTAAACACAAGGGCCAATACACACAACCTGACGCATTTCCGCCCTATTGGGGCCTTCTTCAGAGGTCAAACAGTACTGAGGTACACGTAACTTTAATACCTATTACAATAAGATAACCAAGAAGTGAATATTGGTCCAAGAAAAGGAAGGCTGTAGAAAAAAGTTAAAAAGGATATTGAATATGGATAAACAAATATTGTTTTTAACTTACAGTGTAGTAAAAATGGCTCTATTCAGGGGTCATTTTGTAGAAAAAGAGGTGCAGGAGCTCATTAGCATAACCCATTAGCATAACTCATTTGCGTATGCCACACCCCCTGACATCACCGGAAGTGTGTCAGAAGGTAACACCCACCGCTCAGGCTCCACTGGACTGTTTTGGATTGCTAGCTATTGGGGGGGGGGGGGGGGGAAGATCTTCCCTCGGGAGGAAGGAAAGCTTGTACCTGAATAAACCTTGGTCTTAAAGGTACCACTGGACTTTTTGGACCGGGGAGCTGGGCGGTGGGGCTCTGCAACGTACCTGGCTGCTTCTTGCTCTGACTGAGGGCTGTTGGGAGCAGGGGGTGGGGCTTGTTGCACGTGCCCGCCCCCGGGCTCTTTACTGCCGGAGCTCTTCTGCTGTGCACTCCTGCAGGAAATGACCCCTGGCTATATTACTTACTTAAGCCAATGTGGAACCAGGGCGCCCACCAATACCTTTCCTGGCGCCTGCCAAGTGTTGTAGAAAGTAGGCGGGGCTTCTGACTGGCCATTAGGGATTTGATTGGCTATGCAGATATTTTCAAATGTTGCAGTTTGTGGCAGCGCCTCCTGGTTGGCCGGGAGGGGGAGCGACCTTGGGGGGGCACTGCGCTGCTGAGGCAGGAAGGGCTGTGGCCAGAACCAAGACTGTGACGGGGGGGGGCAGGTAATCTAATTAAGTCGATCTATCTAATTTATTACAGCAAGAGCCATTAAAACAGTACAATTCTGGTATAAGAAGGATTAGAACAGTAATAACGTGGGAATAGTATAAAAACATTAACAAGAGAAAATCAATAAAATTAGTGAAATAAAATAATATTAATAAGAGAATCATACCGTTTTTTCAGCTAAAATAAGTTGACGTTTCCCAGTAGCTAAGCAACAAAATTTTGCCACAACGTAAGTCACTGAGCTCTGAACGTCTTCTAAGAGGAATTTACGAAGGTCTTCTAGCCTAAAGTCAAGATAAGACTGCAGAGGGCTAAATCTAGAGGGAAGAGGTAGTATAAGATGGTCTCGTTCCTCCTGATAGAATCTGCAGAACAGGAGGACATGAGTAACTGATTCCACCATATTAGCCATGCACAGGTATATACGTTCATGCATTGGAACAATCTAATGAAGAACAATCTAATGAAGTATCTGATGAAGATACTTCCCTTCCTTCCCTGAGCCCTGCTGTAGTGGCGGCACAAACCAGCCAGAGAAGGGAAAGTATTTATAGAGATTATGTCTCTTTAAATACCCTCCTTTTTCTCGCTGGTGCGTGCCGCCACTACAGCGCGACTCAGGGAAGGAAGGGGAGGCATCTAAACTTAATTAGATCACTAATCGGATTAGTGGCAATCTAATTACGTTCCCACTCCCGGTGTTTGCGCCCTGACCGAAAATTTTCTGGCTATGTCAGGAAGTTCATCCTCACCGTCAGAAAGTTTTTCCTCAGATTTAGATGAAACCTCCTTTGCTGAGGTTTATATCTTTAAAGGCCCCGTTCATACGAGGCAGTTTGGGCGGGGAGCGGGCCAGATGGGAAGCGCAGCAAACGGGCGCGATCCCACGCCAACATTTGGCTGGCGTCGCGCTCCCGCCTCCAATCTGGCCCTTCCCCCGATGAAGTGCAGCAAAGATGAACCACCTACCTTCGGTGGTTCATCCGGATGGTCCGCTTCATCCCGGCCGTCACATCCCCGGCCCCCTGCCGTACTGCGCATGTTCGAGCATGCGCAGTACGGCAGCCTCCCCCTCTGACTGGTATCTTCCTTCCCGGCATCTGATCATGCCGGGGAGCAACGGAGCGCGGCAACCGGGATCCGTGGGATCCCACCGGGGCGTTTCTTTTTTGGCGCGGTTTTTAAAAGCCGCGCTTCGCCCCGTCTTTTCCCTGCCGTGTGGCAGGGGCCAAAGAGAGCCAGTTTGGTGTAGTGGTTAGGAGCGCGGACTCTAATCTGGGAGAACCGGGTTTGATTCCTGACTCCTCCACATGCAGTTGCTGGAGTGCCCTTGGGCCAGTCACAAGTTCTCTCAGAGCTGTTCTCTCAAGGGCAGTCCTCGAGAGTGCTCTCTCTCTCAGCCCCACCTGCCTCACAAAGTGTCTGTCGGGAGCGGAAGGGAAAGGGATTGTAAGACGCTCTGAGACTCCTTTGGGTATAAATCCGATCTCTTCCTCCTCCTCCTCCTCCTCCTTTTTCTATTTCCATTCACCTGAGTCCAGTCACCCAACACAGTTAAAAACATAACTGCCCCATCCTTCGCATGGCATCACTTTAGGTATTGGAAGGTGGCGATCATATCACCTCACATGGTGTCTCTTCTCCAATGTAGATATTCCCGACTCCTTCAGTGTAGAGATTCCCAATATTGTTGGCTGTGAATCCCGTGGGCTTGAGAGCCAGTTTGGTGTAGTGGTTAAGTGCGTGGACTCTAATCTGGGAGAACCGGGTTTGATTCCCCACTCCTCCACTTGCACCTGGCTGGATGACCTTGGGCAAGCCTAGTTCTGATAAGAGCTGTCCTTGAAAAAGAGCAGTTCTCTCAGAGTTCTCTCAGCCCCACCCACCCCACAGGGTGTCTGTTGTGGGGAGGGGAAGGGAAAGGAGTTTGCAAGCCGCTCTGAGACACTTTTGGGTAGTGAAGAGTGGGATATAAATCCAATATCTTCTTCTTCTTCTTGTTATTCCTCAGTTTCAGGAGAAACACAATTCTCTCCAATGTAGCAATCACTTTGCTGGATCAAACCAAGATTCAACTGTGCTGTTTCCCGCAGAAGTCAACCAGATTCCTCTGGGAGCTCTCAGGCAGCCCATAATTGTTTACTGGCATTTAGGGGTATACTGTCTCTGTACATGAGGTTTTCATTTGCCTCTTGTGGCTGTCAGCCAAGGATAGATGTGTCCTCTGTGAATTTGTGTATTTCTTTCTTTTTTCCGAATGAACACAAATAAGCTCATGGCCCATGATACATCGTAGCCAGACCATACTGCTGTTACCTTTTTATTGAGCTAACTTTATATTTATGTGTATTTATTTATGATCTGCCTGTCTGGTACATTTTTATCCTGCTTTTACACTAGATAGCTCAGGGCAGCGTATGTAGTTCACGCATCTCCAACTCTGTGAGGTAGGTTTGTCTGACAGAGAGGGACTGGCTGAAGGTCACCTAATGAACTTCGTGTCGCTGTGAGGATTTGAATCCGGATCTCCCAAATCTTTGGGTCTCTAGCACTCTAGCCCAGGGGTCCCAAACCTTTCTGAGCCTATGGGCATTTTTGCAATTCTGACGCAGAGTGGAAGGCAGAGTCATAAAATGGCTGCCACAAAATGGCGGCTGCAATAAAATGACTGCCGCAGGAGGCGGAGCGTGCCATAAAGTAGCTACTCATGTGGGATAGGTCTGTTCGGACGCAGTCAGCCTCTGAATCCCAGTGCTACGAGGCAACATCTGGGGAAGGCCTCTATGCCCTGTTGTTTGGCCCTCCAGAGGAACTGGTTGGCTACTATGTGAGACAGGATGCTGGACTAGAGGGACCACAGGATGCTGGACTAGAGGGACCACCAGTCTGATCCAGCAGGGCTCTTCTGATGTTCTTATGAAGGCCTCGGCCTCTCTGCCCTGTTGTTGGCCCTCCAGAGGAACTGGTTGGTCACTGTGTGAAACAGGAGGCTGGACTAGAGGGACCACCAGTCTGATCCAGCAGGCCTCTTCTGATGTTCTTATGAAGGCCTCGGCCTCTAGGCCCTGTTGTTGGCCCTCCAGAGGAACTGGTTGGCCACAGTGTGAGACAGGATGCTGGACTAGAGGGACCACTGGTTTGATCTAGCAGAGCTCTTCTGATGTTCTTATGAAGGCCTTGGCCTCTCTGCCCTGTTGTCAGCCCTCCAGAGGAACTGGTTGGCCATTGTGTGAGACAGGATGCTGGACTAGACGAACCACTGGTCTGATCCAGCACAGCTCTTCTTTTGTTCTTATTCCTAATCTTTACTTCCACACTCCCCCCAGATCGGAGGCTGGAGCATCACTGGCCCCTGGAATCAGACCAACTTCATGGACGTCCTGAAACTGGTATCTGGGACCTACCGGGCGTCTCCATTCTTTACTGTGTTTGTGGGAGCCGATTCCAAAAGCTCGAACAGCAACGTCATCCAGGTAAATCCCCTTGACAGCATTTCTGTACGTGGATCTGAAGGAGGACAGTTTGTGTCATCAGCACAAAGTTGTTCTCTTTGGACAGCCTGTATCCCATCAGGGGAAGGAAGATAATCCCTCTGCCTACCTTGAAGCAGCCCTGACTTGGATGGCCCAGCCTAGCCTGGTCTTGTCAGATCTCAGAAGTGAAGCAGGGTCGGCCCTGGTCAGTACTTGGATGGGAGACCACCAAGGAAGCCCAGGGTTGCTACGCAGAGGCAGGCCTTGGCAAATTACCTCTGTTTGTCTGCCTTGACCTGGATGGCCCAGGGTAAGCCAATCTCATGAGATCTCGGAAGCTAAGCAGGGTCGGCCCTGGTCAGTACTTGGATGGGAGACCACCAAGGAAGCCCAGGGTTGCTACGCAGAGGCAGGCCTTGGCAAATTACCTCTATGTGTCTGCCTTGCCCTGGATGGCCCAGGCTAACTCAATCTCATGAGATCTCGGAAGCTAAGCAGTATTTGCCTACAACAGCAAACCTGAAAACTCTGTGGGGTCTCCAGAAGTCGGCTGTGGCTTGAGAGCCCTTTCCAGCACTACCTCGAAGCATGCAGTTGTAGAAGCAAGCTATACATTGGGGCTGGGAGTGTCAGTGGTGGGGGCCCTGTGAGGTTTGCTGTGGGCAAAGCAAACAAACAAAAAAATTAAGTTGGAAAGAGACCAAGAAGGGGCCAATGGGGAGGGTCTGGCAGCAGAGGGATATGGGAACACCGGGGGGGGGGGTGAAATCAAGCCGGTTCAACAAGGGAAAGAAGGCACACGCAGTCAGAGAGGCATGTTGCAGACAGCTGGCGAGAAGAGCGAGGATTTCCCTGGTGGCGATGGAAAGTATAGTCAAGTCGCCGCAAACTTAGAAGAAGAAGAGTTGGATTTATACCCTGCCCTTCACTCGGAGTCACAGAGTGGCTTACGGTTCCCTTCCCTGCCCCACAACAGACACCCTGTGAGGTAGGTGGGGCTGAGAGAGCTCTTTAAGAACATAAGAACATAAGAGAGGTCAATGTTGGATCAGGCCAAAGGCCCATCCAGTCCAACACTCTGTGTCACACAGTGGCCAGAAATACCAGTGCCATCAGGAGGTCCACCAGTGGGGCCAGGACATTAGAAACCCTCCCACTGTTACAGAGCATCACTTGCCCCAGAGCCCCTAGCTATACCTTGTGGCTAATAGCCACTGATGGACCTCTGCTCCATATGCTTATCTAATTCCCTTTTGAAGCCGTCCATGCTTGTAGCCGCCACCACTTCCTGTGGCAGTGAATTCCAAGTGTTAATCCCTCTTTGGGTGAAGAAGTACTTCCTTTTATCTGTTCTAACCCGACCGCTCAGCAATTTCATGGAGTGCCCACGGGTTCTTGTATTGTGAGAAAGGGAGAAAAGTACCTCTTTCTCTACCTGCTCTTTCCCATGCATAATCTTATAAACCTCAATCATGTCACCCCTCAGTCGTCGTTTCTCCAAGCTAAAGAGCCCTAAGCGCCTTAACCTTTCCTCACAGGGAAAGTGTTCCAACCCCTTTATCATTCGAGTTGCCCTTTTCTGCACTTTTTCCAAAGCTATAATATCCTTTATAATGTCAGCTCTTTCAAGGACTGCCCTTGAGAGAACAGCTCGGAGAGAACTTGTGACTGACCCAAGGTCACACCAGCAGCTGCTTGGGGGGGGGAGTGGGGAATCAAACCCAGTTCTCCCAGATTAGAGTCCGTGTTCTTAACCACTACGCCAAACTGGCTCTCTAGGGTGACCTCCATTGGGTTTTCAGGACAAGAGACCAAACAGGTCGGTTGCCATTGCCTGCCTCTGCTTATTGACCCTGGACCTCTTTGCTGGTCTCCCATCCAAGTACTAACCAGGGCCGACCCTGCTTAGCTTCTGAGATCTGAAGAGAACAGGCTAGCCTGGCCATCCAGGTCATCTTACCATCCTTATACACAGGGGTCATTTCATAGAAAAAGAGGTGCAGGAGCTCATTAGCATAACTCATTTGCATATGCCACGCCCCCTGACATCACCGGAAGTGGGTCAGAAGGCAACACCCGCCGCTCAGGCTCCACTGGACTGTTTTGGATTGCTAGCTATTGGGGGGGGGGGAACGTGCAGATCTGTCCTTGTAGAGGAGGGAGAGCTTGTACCTGAATAAAACCTGGTCTTAGAGGTGCCACTGGACTGTTGGGGGCCGGGGGGAGCTCTGCAACTTACCTGGCTGCTTCTTGCTCTGACTGAGGGCTGCTGGGAGCAGGGGGTGGGGCTTGTTGCATGTGCCCGCCCCCTGGGCTCTTTACTGCCGGAGCTCCGCTCCTGTGCGCTCCTGCAGGAAATGACCCCTGCTTATACGGGAACTCCACTCTCAGCCTTCAGGCTCTGGAAGCGGTTGGGCTGCAATCCTGTGCAATCCACCTTAGAGTAAGTAGCATGGAACAGAATGGGACTTGCTTAATCCAAGTGGGGATTTCCGTGGTTTACCGCAAGTTTGCACACAACATTCTTGCACATAGAAATAGCACGCTGGGGAGAAGGCTAAGCTAGAACCCTTGTCCCTGACATGCTAGCTTTCTATGTAGAAGGTGGGTTGTTGTTTTTTTTGTTAGATTCAGTGATGTGAGCTTCTGTTTGCAGTTGGAAGCGGTATAGCCCATACACTGAGCGGTGGCACAGTGGGTATATCCCACTGTCTTAACATCCGAACTGTGTTAGTTCGAGCCCCGCGCTGGTGTGAGCAGCCAGCCTTTTGTCCACAGCTCATCGTCCACCCAGCGATTCGAAAGCTTCGGCGAGTAGATAAAATGGGAACCACTCCTTAGAGAGGGTGGGCACACCAGTCTCCCTTGTGGGAGGATGTAAACTGACGGTAAGGACATCCTGGTCGAGGTTCGGAAAAGGCGGAAGAACTTCTCGGCTACAAAAATCCCTGCAGTGGATATTTCCGGCCAGGTGGTGGCAGTGTGGCGATTTGACATACGGGTCCTGAAGCCTCATCAACAAGCAGCCGTTCAGAAAATGACTGAGCCAAGCCAGAAGACGTTTACACCGTGCAGTGACAGCGTGTGCAATTAAATGAATATATGTCGACTTCCCTATCCCCTATGAACATTGTTAGTCCCCTGTCTAAAATGTGTAACTGTACATCGCTTTGAGCCCACTGCAGTAAGGACTCAAACAGATGAGATCAGGGCTGCGGTCACACACACCAAATAACCCAGTTTCAATCCACTTTCCAACCGGGTTTTGCCAGTTCACATAGTAAGATCCAGTTGGAAAGTGCACTGAAAGTGGATTGAAAATGGATTATTTAGTGTGTGTGACCACAGCGCAGGTGTCTAGTTTGGTCCATTAAATGCACATTTCAGGCTCACACAGCCTCAGTTTGCCTTAGGGCAGTGCAGGAAGGGGCAGAGGGAATGGGAGGTTTAACCCTTCAGCCTCCACTCCTTTTCGCCAGACGTCCCGGCTTTGTCGTTAGCATCTCAAAAAGGGGAAAGCGTGTGTTTTAATGGGCTTCTCTTTTCTAGCGGAGCGGGGTAACCCGTTTCAGACAGCAAAATGGAGTTGGAAGGTCACGGTAGTTCCCCCCTGTCCTTCAGTATAGGAGTCTAGAAGGAGCTGTACTTTGGTAGCTGGATTCATTGGGCTTTCTGGGTTTTTTTGTATGTGTGCAGGTGGATCAATCAGGCCTTTTCTTGCCTTCACGCGATTACTACCTAAACAGGACCGCCAACGAGAAGGTAAGAAGGCACAACAGAATCATAGAATCATAGAGTTGGAAGGGACCTCCAGGGTCATCTAGTCCAACCCCCTGCACTCTGCAGGAAATTCACAAATACCTCCCCCTCCAGTTTGGGGTAGTGGTTAAGTGCGCGGACTCTAATCTGGGAGAACCGGGTCTGATTCCCCACTCCTCCACTTGCACCTGGCTGGATGACCTTGGGCAAGCCGTAGTTCTGATAAGAACTGTCCTTGAAAAAGAGCCGTTTCTGTCAAGAGCTCTCTCAGCCCCACCTACCTCACAGGGTGTCTGTTGTGGGGAGGGGAAGGGAACGGAGTTTGTAAGCCGCTCTGAGACACTTTTGGGTAGTGAAGGGCGGGGTATAAATCCAATCTCTTCTCTTCTTTTTCTCTTCTCCACACCCGCAGTGACCCGTTCCACACCCAAAAGGTGGCAAAAACCTTCAGGATCTCCAGCCAAACTGGCCTGGAGAAAAATTGCTTCCTGATCCCAAAGTGGTGATCGGCATTTCCCTGGGCATGTAAGAAAGGGCCACGAGAACTGAGCACTGAGGCAGCCCTTCCTGCCCTCCCGCTTTCATGATCTGCTCAAGTTCACAGAATCAGCATGGCTGTCAGATGGCCATCTGGCCTCTGCTTGAGAACCTCCCAAGAAGGAGAGCCCGCCACCTCCCGAGGAAGCCTGTTCCACTGAGGAACTGCTCTAACTGTCAGGAAGTTCTTCCTCATGTTTAGCCAAAAACTCTTCCAATTTAATTTCAACCCCTTGGTTCTGGTCCGACCTTCTGGGGCAACAGAAAACAACTCCACACCACCGTCAGATACCCCCCCCCCCAAATCAGTATGTCAAGTTAGATGCATTCTTTTAAGGTGTAGCATAGCTGTGCAGCGCCCTGCTTTGGATTTGGGGCTGCTAATGAATCCCCCTCCCCATGCTGTTAGCATCTGCTTGGCATGCCGAAGATCCCAGGTTCAATCCCCGGAAAGTCCTCCACCTGAGACCCTAAAGAGCTGTCAAGAGGGGCTGTGCCTCAGTGGAAGAGCCTCTGCCTGGCATGCAGGAGGTCCCAGGTTCAGTCCCCAGCATCTCCAGTTAAAAGGACCAGGCAGCAGGTGATGTGAAAGATCTCCGCCTGAGACCCTGGAGAGCTGTAAAGAGGGGCTGTGGCTCAGTGGAAGAGCCTCTGCCTGGCATGCAGGAGGTCCCAGGTTCAATCCCCAGCATCTCCAGTTCAAAGGACCAGGCAGGAGGTGATGGGAAAGACCTCGGCCTGAGACCCTGGAGAGCTGTAAAGAGGGGCTGTGGCTCAGTGGAAGAGCCTCTGCCTGGCATGCAGGAGGTCCCAGGTTCAATTCCCGGCATCTCCAGTTCAAAGGACCAGGCAGGAGGTGTTGTGAAAGACCTCAGCCTGAGACCCTGGAGAGCTGTAAAGAGGGGCCGTGGCTCAGTGGAAGAGCCTCTGCCTAGCATGCAGGAGGTCCCAGGTTCATTCCCTGGCATCTCCAGTTAAAAGGACCAGGCAGCAGACGATGGGAAAGACCTCTGCCTGAGACCCTGTAGAGTTGTAAAGAGGGGCTGTGACTCAGTGGAAGAGTCTCTGCCTGGCATGCCGGAGGTCCCAGGTTCAGTCCCCGGCATCTCCAGTTAAAAGGACCAGGCAGGAGGTGATGGGAAAGACCTTAGCCTGAGACCCTGGAGAGCTGCTGCCGGTCAGAGCAGTCAATACTGAACTTGATAGGGTCTGACTCAATTGGCCTGGGTGGACAACCTGTTGACTCATCATGAAGGGAGGGAGAGTGCACGTGTGTGTGCTGGCCCCGCTGTACTGCTTCTGCTTGGTCTCTGAGCTGTCTGCACAGTATGAATGCATAGCGGAATGCATAGTGGACCTATGCCCCCTCCCCATAATCAGTGATGCTGCTGTCCAAAGGTTGTTGATCACGGGAAAGGGGGTGTACGCATGGGCACTGGGGCACAGCCAGCACATTCATGCCCACTCTCCCTCCTCGTGTGGCGTGTCAATGCCCAGATGGGTCCTGTTCTGAAAGACACAAAAGGCTCTACATCTCACAACAGCACTACAGATAAGATTAGAATCTCAACAGCCAATCCATATGCAAAAGCACCTCCTCAGGAAAGCCCCTCCATTAGCACATCCATAGCCTGGGGAACTCCTACAAGATAATGACTCCGCCCTACCCCACCTTCCTGAGTAGATATAAATTACCTGCCTACCATTTTTCTTCCTACCTTGACACATCTTTCTGTGTTCTATCTCTGAGGATGCCAGTCACAGCTGCTGGCGAAACGTCAGGTCCTACGGTGTCAGGTCATACAGCCCGGGAAATCTACAAGAACCACAGATGGGTTGTCTGTGCACATTTCCTGGCACTCACCAAGTGTTTTTATGAAATGGGGTGGGGCTCCCGCACAGCCGTAGTACATCTGATTTGCTGGGCAGATGTAAACCATAGTGTTGGCTTTATTCTCACTTCTCTCGCCAAGTGTATTTTTGAAACCATCCCTCTTTTCACTCGCACTCAAGCTTCTTCTCTGTGTGTGTGTGTGTGTGTGGCTTGGCCTCCTGCAACAGCCATTTTGTTCAAAGTGGAGATTCGAACACAGGTCAGCCAGGGTCCTTGTCCGCCACTCTAGACGTGACGCTGTCCCTGGCTCAGAACCTGGGGATGCTGCCGCCATTTTAGATCCTAATGGGGGAGATGTTTTCTGGTTTATGGGCTCCAGGGCTCTCCACGAGGGCCTTTTCCTCTAGGACCTAGAGACCTAGTTCCGGAGTCCCCAGCGTGGGGCCCAGGGGTTCCGTGGGGCCTGCCGACAGCTTCCCTGTTGCCCGGCAAGTGTTTTTAGAAGTGGGCGGGGCTCCTAGAGAGCAGGGGGTTCTGATTGGCCGTTGGAGATCTGTGCCGATTAAAACAGTGTTCTTTCGGTGGGAGCTGCCGCTGCAGTGTTAATTCTATTCTCTCGCACGCTTCTTCCCCCCCCCCCGACTGTTTTTAAAAATCACTCCTCTTCTCAGCTGAACGTGGGCTTCCCGTGTGTGGCTCCGCTTCCTGTGCGTCAGAATCGCAAAGGAGCTCACAAGCTGAAAAGGGTCGGGGAGTCCTTCTCTAGGGTGTGTCAAGGAACAGCCCCCGGGGGGTGGGTGTCTGGATGCCGTCACTGGAGTGGTTTAGCTAATAGCCCTTGCTGTGGCTGCATAGATAGAATCCTGCATGTCTTCCATCTGGGAGCCGAGCCGAACCTGAAAAGCCTGAAAGGTGTGTCGAATAGAGCACTGCCAGTCCTTTGGGGCATCCGGCACCAGTGCCTGAAGCCCTTCTTGCTTCTTTTGAACGTAAGAAGAGCCCTGCTGGACCAGACCCATGGTCCATCCGGTCCAGCATCCTGTCTCACACCGTGGCCAACCAGTTCCTCTGGAGGGCCAACAACAGGGCAGAGAGGCCGTGGCGTCATTGAATGTCCTCGAGTTCTTTTCTTTGAGGAGAGGGAGAAGTGGGGAGAGCAGAAAAGGGATAGCGGAGCGTCTTGCCTTTTGCAGAGCCGTAGGATTGCCAGTAAGGGGCAGGGAAAGGGAGGCTGTTCTTCAGGGATCATTTCGTAGAGAAAGAGGTGCAGGAGCTCATTAGCCTAACTTATTCACATAACTTATTTGCATATGCCACACCCCCTGACATCACTGGAAGTGTGTCAGATGGCAACACCCACCACTCAGGGTCCACTGGACTGTTTTGGATTGCTAGCTATTGGGGGGGGTACAGATCTGTCCTGGCAGAGGAGGGAGAGCTTGTACCTGAATAAAACTTGGTCTTAAAGGTGCTACTGGACTGTTTTGGATTCCTAGCTATGGGGGGGGGGGGCGCAGATCTGCCCTCACAGAGGAGGGAGAGCTTGTACCTGAAGGGGGGCCGGTGGGGGCTCTGCAACTTACCTGGCTGCTTCTTGCTCCTCATGGCCCAACTGAGGGCTGCTGGGAGCAGGGAGCGGGGCTTGTTGTATGTGCCCGACCCCTGGGCTCCTTACTGCCGGAACTCCGCTCCTGTGCGCTCCCGCAGGAAATGACCCCTGCTGTTCTTTAAAAACCCTCTGCGGAGGCTCAGATGCCCTGGAGTCCGTCCGTCCCCCCCTTCACCAACGCTTTGCTCTTCCACGGCAGGTGCTGGCTGCCTACCTGGAGTACATGGTCGAGCTGGGGTCCCTGCTGGGCGGGCCCAAAGCCTCGACGGAAGAGCAGATGCAGCAGGTGCTGGAGCTGGAGATCCGACTGGCCAACCTCACTGTCCCCCAAGACGAGCGGCGGGACGACGAGAAGATCTACCACAAGCTGACCATCAGGGAGTTGCAGGTGGGGTGTGCCTGGGTGAGGGCAGGAGGTCGTGGGGGAAGGAACGGGGGGGATGGGGGGAGTGTGGCTGGAGATGACGATGAGGAAGAAGAGATTGGGTTTCTACCCTGCCCTTCGCTACCCAAAGGAGTCTCAGAGCGGCTTATGATCCCCTCTCCCTTCCCCTCCCTGCAACAGACACCCTGGGAGGTAGGTGGGGCAGAGAGAGCTCTCTCGAGGACCGCTCCTGAGAGGACAGCTCTGAGAGATCTTGTGACTGACCCAAGGTCAAACCAGCAGCTGCATGTGGAGGAGTGGAGAATCAAACCCGGTTCTCCCAGAGCCGCCCCCCCCCCCCCCGCTGGCTACGGCCTTGACTGAGGGGGCGAAACATTCTGCACATTCACCACTACACCAAACTGGACAGAGAGGTGTGGGACGCTTCCCCAGCGACTGTCCTCAGTTGGGCCCATAGCTCCCCTCGCCGCTCCCTCCCTCCCTCCCTCCCTCCCAGTTAATTATTTCTTTTGGCCCACCAAAATGCAGGAAGAGCATCTTAAGCATATACTTGAAAGGGAAGATTGGGGTGGGTGGGGGATCAGGGTGGGGGCACTGCAAATTTAAAAGGGGGCACCGCACCATGTGCCCCCCCAGTGGTTATGGCTCTGATTGGGGGGAAAACATTCCGCACATCTCCAGTGAAAAGGATCAGGTAGGGGGTGATGTGAAAGACCTCAGCCTGAGACCCTGGAAAGCTGTAAAGAGGGGCCATGGCTCAGTGGAAGAGCCTCTGCCTGGCATGCAGGAGGTCCCAGGTTCAGTCCCCGGCATCTCCAGTTAAAAGGACCAGGCAGGAGGTGATGGGAAAGACCTCGGCCTGGGACCCTGGAGAGCTGTAAAGAGGGGCTGTGGCTCAGTGGAAGAGCCTCTGCTTGGCATGCAGAAAGTCCTGGGCTCAATCCACAGCATCTCCAGTTAAAGGGACCAGGCAGGAGGTGATGTGAAAGACCTCGGCCTGAGACCCTGGAGAGCTGTAAAGAGGGGCTGTGGCTCAATGAAAGAGTCTCTGCCTGGCATGCAGGAGGTCCCAGGTTCAATCCCCGGCATCTCCAGTTAAAAGGACTGGGCAGGAGGTGATGGAAAAGACCTCCGCCTGAGACCCTGTAGAGCTGTAAAGAGGGGCCGTGGCTCAGTGGAAGAGCCTCTGCCTGGCATGCAGACGGTCCCAGTTTCAATCCCCAGCATCCCCAGTTAAAAGGACCAGGCAGTAGGTGATAAGATAGACCTCTGCCTGAGACCCTGGAGAGCCGCTGCCCATCCGAGTAGACGAGAGTTCAATGGACTGAGGGTCTGATTCAGTCTACGGCAGCTTCACGTGTTCAGCCGCACAGCCAAAGGAGCGGAGACGTTTCCCCGCAAGCAAAAGAGTTGGCGTAAGAACCCAAGGGAAGGAGACGCACCTCAGATCTCCTGGGGGTGAGAGAGACACGGACAAGCAAAACTCATTAGGATCCGTTGCCAGGCTGCCCGGAACATGAAGCCAGGCGCACAAAACGAAGCAAGTCATTAACAACTGGGGGCAACCCCGTGGCCAGGAATTGTTGTGGGGGGCCCAGGGGTGCCGGGGAGTCACTAATTAAATTAAATGGAATTCGCTAATTAGCTAATTAGTGGAAGAAGCTTGGCTGGGGCTCTCTTGACGCCACACTGCTAGGATCTTTGGGTGGGGAAGGCCGGGAGATGTAGCCACAAATCGCAGCGTGCCTGGGGTGGGGGGGGAGAGGGAGAACCTTCCTCTTCAGGGGAGGCCCCTGCCCGGGATCGTGGTTCCCACAGAAGGCAGAGAACCCCCCCCCAGCTTTTGGCAGCCCACCCGATGGCGCCCTTGGCAGGGGAGGGTCACCCAGGGGCTTACCTTCCATGTCCCTGGTGACTGAGGGCGTTGGTGGCCAATGGCAGGGACAGACAGGAGGTAGAGGAGATTGGATTTATACCCAGCCCTTCACTCAGAGTCTCAGAGCAGCTTACAAACTCCTTTCCATTCCCCTCCCCACAACAGACACCCTGGAAGCAATGCTCCCCCTAAGCTGTGGAGTCTTGTGAGCAAAAATTCTACTTTGTGAGCTACTGGCGTTAAAGTTCTGAGCAAGCGATTTGGCCGCTGCATTAATTAGTTTGCTCTGGAGCCGTCCTCCCTGAGCCGAGACAGAAATGTGTGAGCCGGAGGCTAAAAAAACCTTTGCGGTAGCTCGCACTAACTCAGCTTAGAGGGAACACTGCCTGGGGGATAGGCGGGGCCGAGAGAGCTCTCTGGAGAACTGTCCTTGAGAGAACAGCTCTGACAGAACTTATGGCTTGCCCAAGGTCATCCAGCAGCTATAAGTGGAAGAGCGGGGGAATCAAACCCGGTTCTCCCAGATTAGAGTCCGCGCACTTAACCACTACACCAAACTGGACAGAGAGGTGTGGGATGCTTCCCCAGGAAGTGTCCTCAGCTGGGCCCATCCCAGCCCTTCCTCCTCCCCTCGCCACCCCCTCCCTCCTTCCCAGTTAATGATTCAACCTCTGAATGCCAGAGCCAGGAGGCAACATCAGGGGAAGGCCTCGGCCTCTGTGCCCTGTTGTGGGCCCTCCAGAGGAACTGGTTAGCTGTTGCGTGAGACTAGATGGGCCCCTGGTCTGATCCAGCAGGGCTCTTCTGATGTTCTTCGGAGGGAGCAGCAGCCAAACAGAGGTGTCCCGGGAGCAGAAGAGAAGAAGAAGAGATAGGATTTATACCTTGCCCTTCACCACCCAAAGGAGTCTCAGAGCGGCTTACAAACTCCTTTCCCTCCCCCTCCCCACAATAGACACCCCGTGAGGTAGGTGGGGCTGAGAGAGCTCTGACAGAAGCTGCTCTTTTTCAAGGACAGCTCTTATCAGAACTATGGCTTGCCCAAAGTCATCCAGCCAGGTGCAAGTGGAGGAGTGGGGAATCGAACCCGGTTCTCCCAGATTAGAGTCCGCGCACTTAACACCAAACTGGCTCAGCGGCAGGCAATGTCTTCTCGCACCCGCTTCCAGCTCCCTTCCCTCTCTCGGCATTATCCGCGCTGATCCTCTTGTACCGCTCTGCTTCTCCCCCCCCCCCCTTCAGTTGCTGGGACTCTCTTTGCTTTCCTGGCATCACCCGAGATGCAGAGCCCGCCTCCTCCCCCTCGCCCCTTCATTAGGATGCCATTGGCATCGCCCTTCGGCTGCGATGAACGCCAGCACCGCAGGAGCCTGGCGGACTGGCATCCCAATCAGAGCTAGAGTGGCGGCGGCGATGCCAAGCCCCAGCCCTTCAGTCCCCAGTCAGAGATCCATTCACAGAGACAGCACGGGGTACTGTAATCCACTCCCCTTCCTCTCGGGGCCTCCAAAAGACCACCGCGATGGCAGCCTGGCATGCCTGAGGGTGGGAAGAGGATGTTACCCAGAAGCTCAGGGAAACCTCTCCTTTCTCCATTCTGAGGCAAGAAGAAGGAGAAGAAGGACCATAGAATCAGAGTTGGAAGGGACCTCCAGGGTCATCTAGTCCAACCCCCTGCACAGTGCAGGAAATTCACACATACCTAAAAGGTAAAAGGTTCCCTTGCTCGAAAGCCAGTCGAGTCCGACTCTAGGGTTGCGGTGCTCCTCTCCGTTTCAAAGCCGAAGAGCCAGCGCTGTCCAAAGACGTTTCCGTGGTCATGTGGCCGGCATGACTAGACGCCGAAGCGCACGGAACGCTGTGACCTTCCCACCGAAGTGGTCCCTATTTATCTACTTGCAATTTCTTGCTTTCGAACTGCTAGGTTGGCAGGAGCTGGAACTAGAGACGGGAGCTCACTCCGTCATGCGGCAACTCGAGTCTCGAACTGCTGAACTACCGACCTGCCACAGCCTGCAGTTCAGCGTCTTAACCACTTGAGCCACCGCAGCTCCTCACACATACCTACCCCCACACAAACCCGCAGTGACCACTGTTCCACGCCCAGAAGATGACCAAAAAAACCTTCAGGATCCCTGGCCAAACCAACCTGGAGAAAAATTGCTTCCAGCCAGTTTGGTGTAGTGGTTAAGTGCGCGGACTCTAATCTGGGAGAACCAGGTTTGATTCCCCACTCCTCCACTTGCACCTGCTGGATGTCCCTGGGCAAGCCGCAGTTCTGGCACAGCTGTCCTTGAAAAAGAGCAGTTTCTGTTAGGGCTCTCTCAGCCCCACCTACCTCACAGGCAATGCTCCCTCTAAGCTGTGGAGTCCTGTGAGCAGAAATTCTACTTTGTGAGCTATTGACATTAAAATTATGAGCGAGCAATTTGGCTACTGCATACATTAGTTTGCTCTGGAGCCATCCTTCCTGAGCTAAGACAGAAATGTGTGAGCCGGAGGCTAAAAACCTGTGAGCTAGCTCAAACTAACTCAGCTTAGAGGGAACACTGCTCCCAGGGTGTCTGTTGTGGGGAGGGGAAGGGAAAGGAGTTTGTCAGCCGCTCTGAGACTCCTTTGGGTAGTGAAGGGCGGGGTATAAATCCAATCTCCTCCTCCTCCTCCTCCAAAGTGACCTTCAGCATTTCCCTGGGCGTGTAAGAAAGGGCCAGGAGATCTAAGGCTTCCTGCCCTCCCTCTCATGCTCTGCCTAAGTTCGCAGAATCCGCATTGCTGTCAGATGGCCATCCAGCCTCTGAAAACCTCCAAAGAAGGAGAGACCACCACTTCCTGAGGAAGCCTGTTCCACTGAGGAACTGCTCTCACTATCGGAAAGTTCTTCCTAATGTTTAGCTGAAAACTCTTCCCGATTGAATTTCATCCTGGAGGAGGAGGAGGAGAATTGGATTCATACCCCGCCCTTCACTACCCGAAGGAGTCTCAGAGCATCTTACAATCTCCTTCCCCTCCCCTCAACAGACACCCTGTGAGGTAGGCGGGACCGAGAGAGCTCTTTTGAGAACTGCTCTTGAGAGAACAGCTCTGAGAGCTTATGAACAGAACGAGCCTTGTAAATGGCTTGCAGGTTTCACCTTGCCATGCACCCCACGGAGGATCTGCCCACTTTTGAGTCTGGGGGTAGAAACAGTGGCTAAGAGGTCGATCTGGCCAGCCCTCCTTGGCCACAAACCCTGCACCACCATGGTGCAGTGGTTAGAATGTCAGACTAGGATCTGGGAGACCCAGGTTCGAATGCCCATTCTGCCGTGGAAACTTGTTAGGTGACCTTAGGCCAGTCACACACTTTCAGCCTCACCTACCTCTCAGGGTTGTTGTGAGGATAAAGGGGGGGGAGAATGATGTAAGCCCCTCTGAGTCCCCACTGGGGCCAAAGGCAGGTTTTAAATGAAGTAGATAATATGTAAATAAACTCAGAGATTGTTCCCGTGAGACTTCTCTTGCTCAGATGGAAACAACAGAGCGTAAAGCGACATTGAGACACCCCCTGTGTCGTATTGTCCCTTGTCTTCCTTTGAAACACACACATACCCAAAGACAGGGGTCGTTTCTTAGAAAAAGAGCTAGGGGAACTCATTAGCATAACTCATTAGCATATGCCACACCCCTTGACATCACTAGAAGTGTGTCATAAGGCCACACGCCCCGCCCCCAACGGTCCTGGCCGCCGCCACCGGCCTTGCAGCTCCTCTGCCGGGCGGTGGACCTGCAAGGCCGGCGGGAGTGCAAGGAAGCCCCGCGAAGGCCCTCCCTGGCCCCAGGCAGGCAGGAGTGGGGAGAGGCAGGGAGGAAGCAACTTACCCTCCCTCTTCTCCTGCCTCCTCCTGGCTGAATGAGGGCCGGAAGCGGGGCGGCCGGAAGCAGGGGGCGGGGCTTCGTCATGTGCCCCGCCCCCCGTACCTCACCCCGGGGGAACTGCGATCCCCCCCGAAATGACCTCTGCCCAAAGATCAGTTTGGCCCTCACATGTGTATTTTCCGGAGAAATGGGGAGACTTAGCAGCCCTACAAGCAGTATTCCCTCTAAGCTGAGTCAGTGTGAGCCAGCTCACAGTTTTTTAGCCTCCGACTCACACATTTTTGTTCTAGCTCGGGAAGGAGGGCTCCAGAGCAAACTGATTTAGGCAGCAGCCCAATCGCTCGCTCGCAACCTGAATGCCAGCCGCTCACAAAGTAGATTTTTTTGCTCACAGGACTCCACAGCTTACAGGGATACATTGCCTACAAGTCGCCCAAGATACCCGTGCTTCCTTCTAACCCACCGTTGTGGAGCCCGCACTGACTTAAGGGGACGATGCCACCGGCCTGGTTTGCAGACATGTGGGAAAGCGTCCCTGAGGCAGCGAACATGAAGTGCACTTGAATGTTTTCTGAATAGGTTCCAAATACGTATTGCAGTGGCCAAGGGCCTGGTTCGGCGGGTGAAAACCCACTCCAAAAAGTCAATCCTGTCTGTTGTTGTTATGTCGGCCTCCCACATCCCCTGCCTGTTGAGCGTAGCTGTTCTCAATGGGCAATTCCCCCACTCCCGGCCTCTTTACCCCCTCCCCCCCACTTTGCTTTCTGCTTCTCTGTGTCTCCCTTGCTTTTCTCCCTCCCTATAGCCCTCATCCCTGATCCCAGGCCTCCCAGCAATATGGCTTCCTTCATCACTCATTGGTTGCCGAGCAACTCGTCACCACGGCAACAAGGAGGCAAGCCCCCCCCCCCCCCAACACATCCACAGAATGGCTCTTCAGACTGGGCAGGTCTAGGCTCAATCTGGGCAGCGGAGCTGGATCCTGTCTTTAGGAAGCAAATGAGGTTCCTGTGGGTTCTCAACTCCGGCTGGGGAAATTCCTGGAGATTTGGGGCGTGTGTGGGATTTGGCAGGGCTTCTCAGGGGGCAGAGAGAGGCCCATTTTTTTGAGGCTCCCTGGTATATTAAAGAAAATGAAGAAGAAGAAGAAGAAGAAATTGCATTTATACCCCGCCCTTCACTACCCAAAGGAGTCTCAGAGCGGCTTACAATCTCCTTTCCCTTCCCCAAAATAGACACCCTGTGAGGTAGGTGGGGCTCAGAGAGCTCTTGACAGAAACGGCTCTTATTCAAGAACAGCTCTTATCAGAGCTACGGCTTGCCCAAGGTCATCCAGCCAGGTGCAAGTGGAGGAGTGGGGAATCAAACCCGGTTCTCCCAGATTAGAGTCCGCGCACTTAACCACCACACCAAACTGGAAACGCACAAAAGCTTTGGATGCTGTGCTGATTAATTTGACCTTAAAGTGCTGTTCTTGGACTTTTCCCCTTTCAAGCAGTGTTCCCTCTAAGCTGAGTTGGTGTGAGCTAGCTCACAGATTTTTAGCCTCCAGCTCACTGATTTTTGCCTTGGCTCAGGAAGGAATTTATTGCCTTAGCTCAGGAAGTAGAATTTTTGCTCACAGGACTCCACAGCTTAGAGGGAGCATCGCTCAGAAGGGTTTGTGCATGCTTCACTGCCACTGGACTAAATTACCATGTTTTTGTACTGATCATTACATTTAGAGCATTAGAAAGAATTATTACAATATATGTTTCGATTATTAAAAAAGAAGAAGAAATGCCAAAACAGGCTTACAAAAATTCTGGTACATTTTCAATATATAAGGTAAAGGTTCCCTTGCTCGAAAGCCCATCGAATCCGACTCTAGGGTTGCAGTGCTCATCTCCGTTTCAAAGCCGAAGAGCCAGCGCTGTCTGAAGACGTTTCCGTGGTCATGTGGCCGGCACGACTAAACACCAAGGTGCACGGAACGCTGTTCCCTTCCCACCGAAGTGGTCCCTATTTATCTACTTGCAATTTCTTGCTTTCGAACTGCTAGGTTGGCAGGAGCTGGAACTAGAGACGGGAGCTCACTCCATCATGCGGCACCCGGGTCTCGAACTGCTGAACTACTGACCTTCCACAGCCTGCAGTTCAGCATTGGAACCACTTGAGCCTCCGCACCTCCCTTTCAATGTATACCAGAGTTTAAAGCTGTATGATGAACGTCTTCTTTCAATTCCGTCAGTGTATCCCTGTGACTCCTTATTTGGAGTTCATGGCAAAAGTCTAAATTTGAGACCCGTGAATACGAGGCCTGGCCCGGTCGCCAACTCTGGGTTCGTAAATACCTGGAGATTTGAGGGTGGAGCCCAGGAGAGGGTGGGTTGGGGAGGGGTGGGACAAAACACCACGCAGCCCACCTACCAAAGCAGCCGTTTTCTCCAGGAGGAGTGGAATAAAGGCTTTTAAACGAGTACACAAATAATAAATCAGCAGTTTACATTGTCGGGGAGATCAGTTTTAATCAGCCCCGTAGCTAATGAGTTTTTGGGGAGGGGGCCTGGGGGGGGCCCACCGGCCAATTAAATCAAAGTGAATTAAAATTAACTTTGGTTTAATTGGTGGAACTCCTAAGGTGTGAGCCCTCTTCGTCGGATTCAGTCGGGATCTCCAGCAGCACCGCATTTGGTCACCGGGGATCTTGTATCCCAGTCTCCCTTTGGGAACGGAGAGCGTTTCTCCTCCAGCGCAGGGCCAAGAAGCAAGAGAAGTGAAACTGACCAGAGCCGGGCATTGAAATTGACCCTGGCGGAACAGACCAGCCGATCTCCGCTGGCTCTTTGGAGACCGGGGTGGGTGGGATCCGGAGGGAAGCTTTGCCTTCCCGGTTGCGATCCCTAAGAAAGATCAGGAGGATTTTCGACCCTCCGAAGCAAGCCTCCGCAGGTTTCTCCTGCCTGCTGCTTCCCCCCACCCCTGCTGCTCCGCCCGCACTTTCTCTCTTCCTCGGGAATGTTTCTGGGGGAAGGGTCGCCTCTCGGACCGGTGGAGGCATTCTGGAGGCGAGGAGAGAGCAGGGGGCGGGTGCCTTCTCCTCCTCCTCCTCCTTGGGCCGGCCGTGGCAGGGAATGAGGGAGGCAGGCACCCAGGAGCAGCAGCTGGCGGCCCGGAGTCACTCACTGGCTGCTGGGCTGAGGGCAGCGACGGGGGGTGGGAGACGAGGATTGGAGAGGGGCCGGTAAAAACCATGGGGAGGGCGGGCCCCACGGGCCCCGCGGTAGCTACAGGCCTGTTTTAATTCTGGGAAATCTCCAGCCCTCGCCTGAAGATTGGCAACCCTCATGAGGACCGGACCAAATGGCTCTCGTGGCCTGCCTGTGATAGGCCCTGGGCTCTGGGGAGGGGAAGAACTCAGCGAGGCATAATGTCCTAGAGTCCTCCCTCTAAATCACCCCTGTTGTCCAGGGGATCAGGTTTCTGCTGGAGATCTCCAAACTCCTGATCGGGGCTTTGCATTAAGATGTCTGCTCTCCACGGGGTGCAGAGAGCAAGGGAAAGGACTCACTTCCTGAGCAGCTTGCCTTTCCCTTTTGAAAAAATTGAGATCTGAACGTGCTCTTTTCTCCCGCAGGCCCTGGCTCCTGCCATCGACTGGCTGGACTTCATGTCCTACTTCCTCTCGCCGCTGGAGCTGACGGACGCTGAGCCCGTGGTGGTTTACAGCCAGGAGTACTTGCAGCAAGTGTCCCAGCTCATCAACACCACCGACAAAAGGTATCGGACAAACGCCAAGCAGGGCCTTACCGGCTGTGGCCTCCCCCAGTTCTCACACAGTCCTTTGTTGGCATGCATTGGATTACAGGTAGAAACAGTAAACAGATAAGGAGGTAACGAGGGGAAATGAGTCAGTCATAGGCATCTGGACATTACGCAATCGATCCTTAATGACCAAACTTAGAAATAAGGCTACCTTTCCAGTTATTTCGGGTGACAAGTCGTTCAGAAGATGGCGCGCCTTCAAAGTGTCCGGGGAGACTATCGTGTTAAATAAAATTGGGTCTAAAAGAGTAGAATGTATATCATCGTGCTGGGAACAGTACAGAAGAATATGGAGGACTGAGTCAACTTGATTTAGGTTACATGCGCAAAGTCTGGTTGAATAGGGAATCCTATTATATCTACCATAAGTAACTGCAGATGGAATAGTACTGCATATAGCAAGTGCAGATGCTCAGCACAATTGTGGGGCATGGGGGGCTGATAAATAAGAAGGCAGACTGGCCCCCCAGTTCTGTGTGTGTGTGTGTGTGTGTGTGTTGTTGTTGTTGTTGTGTGTGTTCCATGCATCTGGGGTTTTACTGAGTAAAGCCTAGAGTCTGCTTGAGGGTCCTGGAATCTGAGGTTACCTTAGATCCTGATTTCTGTGATATCGGACTAGGAACATTGATTTATTTAAAACACTTCTCTGCCTCCTCTCCAGCCAGTGTGGTGTAGTGGTTAAGTGCGTAGACTCTAATCTGGGAGAACCGGGTTTGATTCCCCACTCCTCCACTTGCACCTGGCTGGATGACCTTGGGCAAGCCGTAGTTCTCTCAGAGCTGTTCTCTCAAGGGCAGTTCACTCAGAGGTCTCTCAGCCCCACCTACCTCACAGGGTGTCTGTTTTGGGGAGGGAAAGGGAAAGGAGTTTGTAAGCCGCTTTGAGGCTCCATATGAAGGGTGGGGTATAAATCCAGTCTCTTCCTCCTTCTCCTCCGCCTCTCCACCTAAATGGGGTCCACGAGGTGGCAAACACCAAGCGTTAAAAATCTCAATGTTAAAAACATTTAAAATAAGCCTGAGAGAAGCCAGTGTTGGATCAGGCCAATGGCCCATCTAGTCCAACATTCTGTGTCACACAGTGGCCAAATATACCAGGTGCCATCAGGAGGTCCAACAGCGGGGCCAGAACTCCAGAAGCCCTCCCACTGTTACCCCCCCCCGCAAGCACCAAGAATACAGAGCATCCCTTGCCCCAGACTGAGAGTTTCTATCTATACTTTGTGGCTAATAGCCACGGATGGACCTCTGCTCCATATCTATATATCTAATAGCCAAGGCGCCCCCTGTGTGCGGATACCTAAATCTGCACATCGGGGGCACCTGGGGGGCAGGGAGATTTTCCTACACATTTGGGGCAATCCCCAGGAGTGCAGAAAAATCTAAAAACTGGAAAAAGCTATAGGGGGGATACTTAAATCCCCCCAAAAGTAAAGGAGCGTTCCCTGCACATGTGCAGGGAATGCTCTGAGAAAGCTTCGCCACCGCCACAGGGGCGGGGGCGGGCGGGAGAAGGCTTGGCGGGCCGGCCTCACCGCCGCTGCTGCTGGGGAGGGAGGGGGAGGGAGAAAGCTTGGTGGGCTGGCCTTGCCGCTGCTGCTCGGGAGGGAGGGGGAAAGGAGAAAGCTTGGCGGGCCGGCCTCGCTGCCGCCACTGAGGGGGAGGGAAAAGGCTGGGCTCACCTGCTGCCAAGGCTCCTGCTTCTGCAGGCCGGGAGCTGTGGGGAATATTCCCCCCCCCCGCGCGCGAGTATCGCGGGTCCTGCCTCTTGTGCTTATCTAATTCCCTCTTGAAGCCATGCATGCTTGTAGCCGCCGCCACCTCCTGTGGCAGTGAATTAATGTAGGTACACCACAGAAATCAAGGTGGAGATCTCCAGCCAGGAGATCTCCAGCCACTACCTGGAGGCTGGCAACCCTATTCCCCAGATCCACCTTGCATTCCTTAGAGCCGTACAGCAGCTGCGGGGAATGGCTCTTTAAAAATGAAGGCGAGCCCCTTTGTGTGGTTGGAATGGGGCCCCGCAGAGGGAGGAAGGGCCCTGCCTTCCCTCCAGCTGTTTTACACCCCACCCCCACCCCACCTCCGCCCCGCAGTGGCATTCCAGCTCTCCTTGTCTTTGAAAAGTCGTTCCCCGCAGCTACTGTATGGCTGCAGGCAACTCTGTACAAACCTGCACGTCCAGCTCGGCCCTTGGATAAGTGGGTCTCAGCTCCAGCTTTGCAGATCAGGCACCAGAGAAATACCAGCGACCGCGTGCCACAATTAACCTGCGACCGTAGGCTCTGTTCCCCGAAGGTCCCGTTTAAATGTGGGGGAAATGTCTAGTCCTGATGCCTGCGTTGCTGGGGGAGGGGGGAAGGGTATACGGAGAAGGCCGAGGGATTGCTCTTGAAGGTTCAGAAGCCAGAGGTGGTCTGGGGAAGATTTCCAGCGGATTGCCTTTAGTCAAGCCTAACCGATGACCTGCCCATGTTCCCTCTAAGCTGTGGAGTCTTGTGAGCAAAAATTCTACTTTGTGAGCTATGGGCATTAATGTTATGAGCAAGCGATGTGGTTACTGCATAAATTAGTTTGCTCTGGAGCCCTCCTTCCTGAGCGAAGACAAAACTGTGTGAGCTGGAGGCTAAAAACTGTGAGCTAGCTCACACTAACTCAGCTTAGAGGGATCACTGCTCAGAGGTCAGTTTAAATCCTGCGGTTAAAGTCACCCTGACATGACCTGGGTGGCCCAGGCGAGCCCTGTTCTTGTCAGATCTCAGAAGCTAAGCAGGGTCGGCCCCCGTGTTCCCTCTAAGCTGAGTGAGTGTGAGCTGGCTCACAGTGTTTTAGCCTCCGGCTCGCACATTGTTGTCTCAGCTCAAGAAGGATGGCTCTGGAGCAAACTAATTGACGCAGCAGCCCAATCGCTCGCTCACAACTTTAATGCCGGTAGCTCACCAAGTAGAATTTTTGCTCCCAAGACTCCACAGCTTAGAGGGAGCATCAGTCGGCCCTCGTTAGCACTTGGATGAGCGACCAGCAAGGAAATCTAGGGTCGCTACGCAGAGGCAGGCAAGGGCAAACTGACCTCTGAACGTCTGTAAGCCGCTCTGAGACACCTTTCAGTAGTGAAGGGCGGGGTATAAATCCAATCTCTTCTTCTTCTCTCAGATCTCTCTCAGCCCCACCTACCTCACAGGGTGTCTGTTGTGGGGAGGGGAAGGGAAAGGAGTTTGTGAGCCGCTCTGAGACACCTTTGGGTAGTGAAGGGCGGGGTATAAATCCAATCTCTTCTTCTTCTTCTTCTTCTACCTCACAGGGTGTCTGTTGTGGGGAGGGGAAGGGAAAGGAGTTTGTGAGCCGCTCTGAGACACCTTTGGGTAGTGAAGGGCGGGGTATAAATCCAATCTCTTCTTTTTCTTCTTCTTCTCTCAGAGCTCTCTCAAGCCCCACCTCCCTCACAGGGTGTCTGCTGTGGGGAGGGAAAGGGAAAGGAGTTCGTAAGCCGCTCTGAGACACCTTTTGGTTGTGAAGGGCGGGGTATAAATCCAATCTCTTCTTCTCTCTCAGCTCCACCTACCTCACAGGGTGCCTGTTGTGGGGAGGGGAAGGGAAAGGAGATTGTCAGCCGCTCTGAGACTCCTTTGGGTAGTGAAGGGCGGGGTATAAATCCAATCTCTTCTTCTCTCTCAGCCCCGCCTACCTCTCAGGGTGTCTGTTGTGGGGAGGGGAAGGGAGAGGAGTTTGTAAGCCGCTCTGAGACACCTTTCGGTAGTGAAGGGCGGGGTATAAATCCAATCTCTTCTTCTTCTCTCTTCTCTTCTGAACGTCTTTTGCCTTGAAAACCCAATGGGGTTGCCGTAAGTCAGCTATGACTTGATGGACACTTTCCATCACCACATGCAGATGGGCTCCGCTCCTTTTGCTTATTCATCTCCTGTACCCAAAGTTCCTTTCTAATTATCATGCCGAAGAATAAAGGAGGATTTTGCTTTTCTTGTCCTCTGTGTTCCCCCCCCGCGCGCCCCGTCCTCGGCAGTCTGGAACACACCAGTCGCTTTGCCATGAAAGTTTCAAATGATATAAAGAACTTTTGAGAGACAGTGGATTAGATCCTGCAGATCCATTCTACTACCGGAAATGTTTCAATTCTCTGCTCGTGGAACAAATCCATGGGATCCAACCCCCATCAACCTTCAGCACGGGGCAGTTCACATTGGTATGAGCCCCACAGGTCATTGGACAAGGCACAATCCAGCCATTTTATGCCACCAGGTTGAACCTGTTTCTCTATCAATAGAGCTGGTCCAACGAAACCGCATATACTCCGAATGGCCAGCTAAAGAGAAGTTTGCCCCATGAAAAGCGGGGAACGCCGTGCCCTCCAGGATCTCAGTCTTGACGTGGTTCCGTCCTTTCTCTTTTAGCGTCTTAAACAATTATTTGATTTGGAACCTGGTTCAGAAAACAGCCTCCAGTCTGGACCAGCGCTTTGAGACCGCCCAGGAGAAGTTGTTGGAGACGCTGTATGGAACCAAGAAGGTGAGCTTTGGGTTGGGGTGTGTGGGAAGACTGTGCGGGATCACCACATTTGATTCATCCCTTAGTTTGCGGGCCTTTGGAGTCTGCCGCTCCTGAAGTCCTCCCGGTTGGGTGGTTTGAGGGCTCGAGTACACATTATAATGATTTCCCGCCTGTAATGATTTCATGTTTTGGTGTGTGTGTTTCTTTAAATGTTTAGTGTGACTGCAGTAATGTAAGGAGAGTGATAGAGGGAGATGAGTGTGATGTGATTGGCTGATGACTGAGAATGTGGGAGGAGGGGTGTCTCTGAGGTGCTTCAGTGTGTTCCTGAAGAGACAAGGGTGGAGAGTTTTTGTGAGAGTCCGTATGACAGAGTAAGCAGTTGGAGTTTAGCCTGTGTGGCTATGAGCAAGAGAGTTTAGCCTGTGTGGTTATGAGAAAGAGTTTAGACTGAGTGTCTAAGCCTTTCAGAGTGGAGTTTTGGTGTTTGAGATACTGTGTGTGACACCAAGCTTTGTCAGTTATATTTTCTTCCTTCAACATCAGTTCAAAAATACCCAGAAACTTATTTTGGTTTTTTATAAATAAATCATTATTTGTTGAAACTTATCCCAGCAATCAGTGCAGTCCTTCCTCAGGGCCACATAGTCCTGAAGCGCCCAGGCCCCAGACACTGGGTCATTCTACCAAAATAGAGAGATTTGGAATTTTTTAATTCCTGCCTGCTGGCAGCAGAAATCTACTAAGTTCATGTGCACAGAGTGGTTTTTAAAGGAGAAACAGCCTCCCCAATAAGCAGAACGCCGCACCCCCCCTTGTGTTTATTTTAAACAACTTTTAAGCATTTTTGTTCTTTTGCAAATTTAACTGCGGGGGTGGGGGTTTGCTTTATCAAACAGGGGAGTGACTGGGGAAAGGGCTTTAACCCTTTCCTCCCCTGCCATCTGACTGCTGGAAAAAGCCGTTCCCAAATTGCTTTTACTCCATCCAAGGAGTAAAAATAGGGGTCAGCTATAAATTTCCCCCAGAGAAATAGTAATGCCTTAAGGGTATTGTTTTCCAGTCAATCAATCAATCGTTTATTATGAATAAAACATATATTAGCAAAGGGGTGTTTTCCCCCCAGAGAAGAAACAGCAGGGGTTGAAAGGGTTCAAGATTTCCTCCCTCACAGGAAGCCACTTCATACTGAATCAGACTGTTGGTCCATCAAAGTCGGTATTGTCTACTCAGACTGGCAGCAGCTCTCCAGGGTCTCAGGCAGAGGTTTTTCATATAACTTCCTACCTGATCCTTTCAACTGGAGCTGCTGGGGATTGAACCTGGGACCTTCTGCATGCCAAGCGTAGGCTCTACCACTGAGCCATGGCCCTTCCCTAAAAGAACCCGCTTTATCCTGATGGGTCCATTAAGTCAGTATTGTCTACTCGGACTGGCAGCAGCTCTCCAGGGTCTCAGGCCGAGGTCTCTCATATCTCCTCCTACCTGATCCTTTTAACTGGAGATGCCGGGGATTGAACCTGGGACTTTCTGCATGCAAAGCAGAGGCTCTTCCACTGAGCCACAGCCCGTCCCTCCCTCTTTCTCCCTCCCCTCCCCTCCCCTCGCCTCTCTGGTAAAGCCCTGAAAACCTGCCACGGTCTACTTTAACTGGGGTTTTCTGTCTGCTTTGACTGGTGTTGGTCTGTAGAGAACCGCTGGCTCGAGAGAGAGTGGATGCCCCCTTCCCCGCCAGTTGCAAGATCAGGTTCAGTGCCGTGCCTCCCCCTTAGGTCTTCTCTTTGTCTCTCCTTCTCTCTTGCCGTGGAGTCCTGCACCCCTCGCTGGCAAACCTGCATCTCCAACACTGACGACACTCTGGGCTTCGCCCTCGGTGCGTTGTTCGTGAAAGCCACCTTCGATCGGCACAGCAAAGAGATTGTGAGTATCCCTAGCATGCAGGGGCCCCCTCTGCCCATCACGAGGGTGCCCCTGTGCCCTCCTTTCCACCCCAACCCCTGCATGCCCCCGGCTGCTGGTCCATTCTTCCCCTCCTTGCAAGCCCTCCCACTGTCCATGTTCACCCCCTGCCTCTGCCACTACTTCCCCAACTGTGCATCAGGCCCCTAGCGACAGTGGGGCTTTTGGGGGCTCCACCCCCTTTCTTAAAGACACAGCCCCACAAGTATTTCTCCTGTAAATGCTTTTTTTCATCTTTAAACAGCAGGGCTGGATCTAGCAGGGCTCCACTGGGGCTGATCCAGCAGGGCTCTTCTGGTGTTCTTACACATAGAGAGAGACACACATGCATCCGGGAACCTCCCTCCCTAACAGCGGCCCCGGTCACACCGGCCAGATAATGCCGGGGGGGGGGGGGGGGGGGGGGTCCCATGGTCCCCCGAGTCTCCGTGCTTAGGCTGTTAGCTGGCAATCACACGGCGATGCTGCAGCGTGGCAAAGAAGCGGCGCGGCGCGATCACACAAGCGTTTCGCGTTTGTGCGCATGCGCAGTTCCTCGGAGCAGCACTGCTTTCGGTTTTATGTTTGTGCGCATGCACTTACAAAAAACATCCGGTTTGCGACGGGACGTGGATGGGCACCGGATGCCACAGGATACTAGCTCTCCTGCGATCAGACGCCCGCCTGTACCGCGCATTTTCTGGATACTAGTGCACTTTCCTTGGTATTTTTTAACTCCGCATCTTCGCATCTCCGCATCTTCGGCGGGACGCCACGGGTTGGCCACAGGTGCGCTACGCTTCCCAGATGTTGCGGTGTGATCGCACCCCAAAAATCTGCCCGACATTCGTGCCTTTTGCGCGGCAAATTCTCCGTGTGACCGGGCCCACTAAAACACAAAACTAGATATTCCATCCCTGGGCTTTCCTCTGCAGCGTTCTGGGGAGTGGGGAGCCATAAAAAACATAGTAGGAGCATGCAGATTAATTTGTAGCATAATTTTCATTAATCTTACTCCCAGTTAACTGTCGTGGCTCAACCCCCACAAAAGCATCCTTAGAATGTCATGTGGCAGGTTTGCTGAGTAAAGAAATCCCCAGTTTACCACCACCACCACCACACGGAATTACAGTTCCCAGGATTCCCTGGGGGAAAGAAATGACGATAAAAGCAGTTTAAACTGCCAGAGGGTGTAGTGATGGCCGCAGGCATAGACAGCTTTAAAAAGGGGAATAGACAAATTCATGGAGGAAAAGTCTATCCACGGCAGTGTTCCCTCTAAGCTGAGTTAGTGTGAGCCAGCTCACAGTTTTTTAGCCTCTGGCTCACACATTTTTGTATTAGCTCAGGAAGGATGGCTCCAGAGCAAACTAATTTACGCAGTAGCCAAATTGCTGGCTCACAACTTTAATGCCAGTGGCTCACAGAGTAGAATTTTTGCTCATAGGACTCCACAGCTTAGAGGGAACATTGATCCACGGTGACTGAAATTTATTTATTATTTATTAAATTTTATTTACTAGGCCGCCCTTCCCCAAAATAGGGCTCAATTTGGTGTAGTGGTTGAGTGCGCGGACTCTAATCTGGGAGAAGTGGGTTTGATCCCCCACTCCTCCACTTGCACCTGGCTGGATGACCTTGGGCAAGCCGTAGTTCTGATAAGAGCTGTCCTTGAAAAATAGCAGTTTCTCTCAGAGCTCTCTCAGCCCCACTGACCTCACAGAGTGTCTGTTGTGGGGAGGGGAAGGGAAAGGAGATTGTGAGCCGCTCTGAGACTCCTTTGGGTAGCGAAGGGCGGGGTATAAATCCAATCTCCTCCTCCTCCTCCTCCTCCTCCTCCTCTTCTTCTTCTTCTTCTTCTTCTTCTTCTTCTAACAGAATAAGTATACAATCTCAATTTAAACCTAGAATAAAACAACCCAATAAATACCAGTACATAAAACAACATCTTTGTGATAGCAGAAAACAGCCTATATAAGATGGCAGAAAGAATTCCAACTCCCTTGCCTCCCCAGGGGACGGGTTATGAGGGATGGGGACTTACGTAAGAGTGCCAGATGACGCCTCGTCACTGTTGCCAACCGAAGGCAGGGCGGAACATCTCTGCCTTGCATGCCTTGCAGAAAGGTAACAGTTCCCACAGGGCGTGGATGTCTTCTGGCAGAGCGTTCCACCAGGCGGGAGCCAGGGCTGAAAAAGCCCTGGTCTTGGTTGAGGACAGCAGGGCTTCCACGTTCAGAGGCAGTAAACCTCATTCAGAGTAAACCACGTTCAGAGGCAGTAAACCTCTGAATCCAGAGCCAGGGAAGGCCTCGGCCTCTCTCAGGTTGTTGGTCCTCCAGAGGAACTGGTTGGCCACAGAGTGAGACAGGATACCGGAGTAGATAGACCACTGGTCTGATCCAGCAGGGCTCTTTTGATGTTCTTATGAAGGCCTTGGCCTCTGTGCCCTGTTGTAGGCCCTCCAGAGAAACTGGTTGGCCACTGTGTGAGACATGGTATTTTATTATAATTATGTGTAAATTGTTATTTTAATATTGTTTGAAGTGTGTCATTTAATTGTTGTACACCGCCCTGAGCCCACTTGGGAAGGGTAGTGTATAAATCTAATAAAATAATTAAAAAAATATTTAAAAAATCTTGGGAGCTAAGCAGGGTCGACTCTGGCAAGCACTTGGATGGGAGACCCCCTTGGAATACCAGCAGTTGGGAGGCGGGGGCAGGCTTATTCTGCCACCTTTCTGAAAACCTTCCAGGCCCCCAGTAGGGATCAGTCACCAGACGTTGCCAGATGCACACCCACCCACCCATGTACATGTGAAAAATACCCCCCAAAAAAAGTGGAAAGGGAAGGGCGAAAGAGCCTCGGCTCACGGCTTCCTCCCCAACCTCTGCTTTTCCGTGATGCTTCTAGCAGGTACTTTAAAGGAGGGAAGGAAGCCTTTGGGAGAAAGTCATCACTAAACTGCACTTAACCCACCGTTCTGTCCTCAGCTGGATGCCGAGCGGTGGGTGCCGGGATGGAGCTCTGGCGCTTGGCACAACGCTTGGCGCCGCTCTCCAGGGAGAGCAGCGTCGGCATCCATAATGCAAAATAAGTGAAATGCATATTGAAGAGTCACGTTGATTGAGTTGGTCTCCGTCCCGCCGTTCTCTTCCGAGGAATCCCCGGGATGTCGAAACGTGTACGCCTTTGGCACGGTTGAAACGCCGCTGGTGCAAAAGGCACTGTCATTATTTATTTATTTATTTATTGGACGTCTAGCCCGCCCTCCCCCGTACAGCAGGGCTCATAGCGGGTTATGACATTCTTAAAAACATTCGGACTAAACGCCAAAGAATTCTAGATTCAGGTGGGTAGCTGTGTTGGTCTGAAACAGCAGAACAAAATTTGAGTCTGGCGGCACCTTTGAGACCAACAAAGGGTAAGCTTTTGTGAGCAAAACACACTTTTTTGCCCGAAGAGGTGTGTTTTACGCTCGAAAGCATACGCTTTGACTACAGTTCTGTCGGTCTCGAAGGTGCCGCTGGACTCAGACTTTGAGCGAATAATTCTGTAACACTGTTGTTGTTCAGTCGCACAGTCGAGTCCGACTCTTCGCGACCCCATGGACCAGATCTCGCCAGGCCTTCCTGTCTTCCGCCGTCCTCTGAAGTTGGCTCAACTTCATGTCCGTTGCATCTATGACACTGTCTAACCATCTCATCCTTTGCCATCGTCCCCGTCTTCTTCAATCTTTCCCAGCATCAGGGTCTTCTCCAGTGAGTGCTCCCTTCTCATTGGGTGGCCAAAGTCTTTGAGCTTCAGTTTCATTATCTGGCCTTCCAGAGAACAGTCAGGGTTGATTTCTCTTAGGATTGACTGATTGGATCTTCTTGCAGTCAGTTTCCTCGGCTCCATCATCAATCAAAATGGAGAGTGCAACCAGGAAATCAGAACAGAGACTGAGACTCGGAAGGGTAGCCATAGAGGAGCTAGAAAAGATTCTTAAGGGTAAGAAAATCAGTGCTCCCTCTGAGCTGTGGAGTCTTGTGAGCCAAAATTCTACTTTGTGAGCTTTGTTGTTGTTCAGTCGCACAGTCGAGTCCGACTCTTCGCGACCCCATGGACCAGCTCCCACCTTCCGGTTTTCCGCCGTGCTCTGAAGTTGGCTCAACTTCATGTTCGTTGCATCAATGACACTGTCTAACCATCTCACCCTTTGCCGTCCCCGTCTTCTTTGACCTTCAATCTTTCCCAGCACCAGGGTCTTCTCCAGGGAGTGCTCCCTTCTCATTGGGTGGCCAAAGTAGTTGAGCTTCAGTTTCATTATCTGGCCTTCCAGGGAACAGTCAGGGTTGATTTCTTTTAGGATTGACTGATTTGATCTTCTTGCAGTCCAAGGGACACTGTAAATACCATAAAATAACAACTCCCAGTCCCAACACAGCTGATAGATGGCGTGAAAATCCCAGGAGGGGGAAATTCTCCCTACGGCAAGCATGACTATTGACTTTATTTTATTTATTTATTTAAATCTTTATCCCACCCTCCCGGCCAAGGCCGGCTCAGGGCCGCTTACAGCAGATAAAATTCAACGGTACATATAAACACGACAACCATTTATCTAAATACAAAATTAAAATACAATGTTAAAACCACATATAATAAAGTGCTAGATATTGTAATATCAGCTTTATATGTTTTAACGTGTTTTAAAGTTTATTGTGTTTATTGAAACGTCGTGACCCGCCCTGAGCCCGTTTACAGGATGGGCGAGATATAAATGCGATAGATAAATAAATAAATATATCCCGAGGTTTTCCTGATGTGCAAAAGGGGGAAGGGGGAGGGAGGCCAATCTAAGATGGACAAACCGTCGTTGTCCTTAACCGTAAGCCTGGCAGAACGACTGTTTTGCAGGCCCTGAAGAACTGCATCAGATCTTCTGGGGCCCGGATCTCACCGGCAGAGCGTTCCACCAGCCACCAGGTCGGGGCCAGGGATGAAAAGGGAATGGAACGGAGAAGCATCTGCCATATTTATTGGCCCATCCAGTCCAGCACTCAGTGTCACACAGTGGCCACAAAACCCAGGTGGCCTCAGGAGGTCCACCAGTGGGGCCAGAACTCCAGAAGCCCTCCCACTCTTGCCCTCCAAGCACCAAGAATACAGAGCATCCCTGCCCCAGACATAAGAGCATAAGAGAAGCCATGTTGGATTAGGCCAGGGGCCCATCCAGTCCAACACTCTGTGTCACACAGTGGCCACAAAACCCAGGTGGCCTCAGGAGGTCCACCAGTGGGGCCAGAACTCCAGAAGCCCTCCCACTCTTGCCCTCCAAGCACCAAGAATACAGAGCATCCCTGCCCCAGACATAAGAGCATAAGAGAAGCCATGTTGGATTAGGCCAGGGGCCCATCCAGTCCAACACTCTGTGTCACACAGTGGCCACAAAACCCAGGTGGCCTCAGGAGGTCCACCAGTGGGGCCAGAACTCCAGAAGCCCTCCCACTCTTGCCCTCCAAGCACCAAGAATACAGAGCATCCCTGCCCCAGACATAAGAGCATAAGAGAAGCCATGTTGGATTAGGCCAGGGGCCCATCCAGTCCAACACTCTGTGTCACACAGTGGCCACAAAACCCAGGTGGCCTCAGGAGGTCCACCAGTGGGGCCAGAACTCCAGAAGCCCTCCCACTCTTGCCCTCCAAGCACCAAGAATACAGAGCATCCCTGCCCCAGACATAAGAGCATAAGAGAAGCCATGTTGGATTAGGCCAGGGGCCCATCCAGTCCAACACTCTGTGTCACACAGTGGCCACAAAACCCAGGTGGCCTCAGGAGGTCCACCAGTGGGGCCAGAAGAACTCCAGGAGCCCTCCCACTCTTACCCCCGAACACCAAGAATACAGAGTGTCACTGCTATTACAACAGATTTCTGGACAATAGAGATCCGTTCCCCTGGAGAAAATGGCTGCTTTGGAGGGTGGACTCTATGGCGTTGTACCTTGTTGAGGCCCCTCCCCAAACCCCACCCTCCCCCGGCTCCACCCCCCCAATCTCCAGGGATCTCCCAACCCAGAGCTCCCTTGCCCGCAGGCCGAAGATATGATTGCTGAGATACGCACAGCCTTTGAGGAATCGCTCCACCAGCTCGACTGGATGGACGAGAAGACGAAGCAAGCAGCCAAAGAGAAGGTCGGTTCCCTCCTCCCCCAAGGTGTTTGTCTGCTAGAGAATCTGGGTTCCTGAGAATCCTGGGCATCCGTTTTTTAAAAAGTTCCTCGCTACCGATCGCGAGCCAGCTGCTCAAGGACACAAGCTCCACGGGTTTCCCAGTTGCTTGTATCAGACCCTGCCTGTAGAGCCAGTTTGGTGTCGTGGTTAAGAGTGGTGGACTCTAATCTGGGGAGAACCGGGTTTGATTCCCCGCTCCTCCACATGCAGCTGCTGGTGTGACCCTGGGTCAGTCACAAGTTCCCTCAGAGCTGTTCTCTCAAGGGCGGTTCTCGAAAGAGCGCACTCAGCCCCACCTACCTCCCAGAGTGTCTGTTGTGGGGAGGGGAAGGTAAAAGGGATTGTAAGCTGCTCTGGGACTCTGAGCGAAGGGTGGGGTATAAATCCTACTCCTCTTCCTCTCCTCCTCCGCCGCCACCTCCTCCTCCTGCTGTTCTTCCAAGCTATTTTGCAATCCGTAAGTCTCCGATAGCACTCTCTTACCAGTCAGTTTGGTGTCGTGGTTAAGTGCGCGGACTCTAATCTGGGAGAACCGGGTGTGATTCCCTACTCCTCCACTTGCACCTGGCTGGATGACCTTGGGCAAGCCGTAGTTCTGATAAGAGCTGTTCTCTCTCAACCCCACCTCCCTCGCAGGGTGTCTGTGGTGGGGAGGGGAAGGGAAAGGAGATTGTAAGCCACTCCAAGACTCCTTCCGGTAGTGAAGGGCGGGGTATCAGTGCAATCTCTTCTTCTTCTTCTTCTCCTCAATAGGCGGACTCGATTTACGACATGATTGGGTTCCCGGAGTTCATTCTGGACGACAAAGAGCTGGATGACGTCTACGATGGGGTATGAGGCTGTGGGGGGGGGAGGGGGGGCAGACTATGGCTGCCCTGGAGAGAGGCCCACTTCCGTGTTCGGCATGACTTGGATGGTGGAGCCCTCCTTGTGTTGCCCTATCTTATGCCTCTTAACCCAGCGCCCTCTACTCCAAGTGGCATCAGCTCCCCAGAGTCTCCTGCTGGGGTCTTTCCCACTCCTGCTATAGCAGATCCTCCGAAATGGAGACACAGAGGACAGGACCTGCCATTGAGTTCCGGCGGCTCACCTGTCATGAGGACAGACTTCGTCACGCCGAGCGATTTTCTTCTTGTTCTCCAGTTTGGTGTCGTGGTGAAGTGTGCGGACTCTAATCTGGGAGAACCGGGTTTGAGTCCCCCACTCCTCCACTTGCACCTGGCTGGATGACCTTGGGCAAGCCATAGTTCTGATAAGAGCTGTTCTTGAAAAAGAGCAGTTTCTGTCACAGCTCTCTCAGCCCCACCTGCCTCACAGGGTGTCTGTTGTGGGGAGGGAAAGGGAAAGGAGTTTGTAAGCCGCTCTGAGACACCTTCGGGTAGTGAAGGGCGGGGTATAAATCCAATCTCTTCTTCTTCTTCTTCTTCTACCTCACAGGGTGTCTGTTGTGGGGAGGGGAAGGGAAAGGAGTTTGTAAGCTGCTCTGAGACACCTTCGGGTAGTGAAGGGCGGGGTATAAATCCAATCTCTTCTTCTTCTTCTTCTACCTCACAGGGTGTCTGTTGTGGGGAAGGGGAAGGGAAAGGAGTTTGTGAGCCGCTCTGAGACACCTTTGGGTAGTGAAGGGCGGGGTATCAATCCAATCTCTTCTTCTTCTTCTTCTTCTACCTCACAGGGTGTCTGTTGTGGGGAGGGGAAGGGAAAGGAGTTTGTGAGCCGCTCTGAGACACCTTTGGGTAGTGAAGGGCGGGGTATAAATCCAATCTCTTCTTCTTCTACCTCACAGGGTGTCTGTTGTGGGGAAGGGGAAGGGAAAGGAGTTTGTAAGCTGCTCTGAGACACCTTCGGGTAGTGAAGGGCGGGGTATCAATCCAATCCTCTTCTTCTTCTTTTACCTGACAGGGTGTCTGTTATGGGGAAGGGGAAGGGAAAGGAGTTTGTAAGCTGCTCTGAGACACCTTTGGGTAGTGAAGGGCGGGGTATCAGTGCAATCTTTTCTTCTTCTTCTCTCCAGTACGAGGTCTCGGAGGACTCCTTCTTCCAGAACATGTTGAACTTCTACAATTTCTCTGGACGATTCATGGCTGACCAGCTGCGGAAGCCTCCCAACCGCGACCAGTAAGGAGTTGCCATCTTCCCCGTCAGTGGGAGTGGGGCGCGTGTGTCATGAGCTGGGTGGAGCAGCGGGCGTCTCAGAGGGGAGAGCCCACGCTCTGATTCCCTGGGGACAGATTCTTTTCAGAGGCATCACTTTAGGAAATACATCTTGCCCTAGGGAGAGAGCCAGCTGGGCATCGGGGCCTTTAGTTTCCTTCTCTCGTTCCCCGCCTTTCTCCCCAGCCGCTTACGTCATTCTCCTCTCCTCCATTTTGATCCTCACAACAACCCTGCAAGGCAGGTTAGGCTGAGTGTGTGAGTGGCCCTAGGACACCCAGCAGGTTTCCAGGACAGAGCTGGGATTCGAACTTGAGTTCCCTAGACCGTCATCCAGCACTTTAACCACTACACCCAGATTCTAGGCTGGCACTCAAAGCAAAACGAACCTAAATCTACCTATAGGATCTGGGTTACGGGTGGCCAGACTGCGGCTCAGGAGCCACATGCAGCCCTTTCGCATACATTGTGCCAGGGCTCTTTTTGTAGAAAAAGCCCAGCAGGAACTCATTAGCATAATAGGCCACACCCAACAGCAGGAACTCATTAGCATATTGGGCCACACCCCTGACAGCACAGCTCATTAGCATATTAGGCCGCACCCCCATGTTACCAGAAGTGTGGTCATCCAGCCACACCCACCTTTTGCTTCTTATTCTGTTTAGCTTGTTTGTTGTCAAAACCCAGGGCCTTTTTTTGTAGCAGGAACTCCTTTGCATGTTAGGCCACACACCCCTAATGTAGCCAATCCTAATGAGTTCCTGCTGTTGGGTGTGGCCTATTATGCTAATGAGTTCCTGCTGGGCGTGGCCAACTTGGGAGCCAGCCGGAACTCCGTTCCTGAGCGTTCCTGCCCAAAAATAGCCCTGTACTGTGCAGTTCCCGGCAGGGCGGCCGGGGAAGCTAAATATCACTCGCAAACAAATATCATTGGAAAAATAAATATCATTATCAATAAATGCTTTTACCCCTTTTGTTATTATTTTTGGCAGTCTCGTTCAAGGTTAATAAAAAAGCAAATCTGCATATTTCCCAGGAAAAGCGTGTAATATTTGTTCATGTGTTGTGGCTCTCAGACACCTGACGTTTATTCGGCGTGGCTCGTAACGTTAAACAAGTTTGGCCACCCCTGATCTGGACGAAAGGCAAATTGAAACACCGCCTGGCTTTACTTTACTTTACTTACTTATTTATTTATTTATTTATTAAATTTCTACCCCGCCCTCCCGCTGAAGCGGCTCAGGGTGGCTTGCAAACAATTTAAAACCAACATACAATTTAAAATCAGCAATTACAAGATATAAAATACAATTCCAATAAATACAGTGAAGGTAAATAAATACAGCGGCATCCTGTAATAAAATGCAGTCAGTTCTTATTGGAACACCTGGCGAAACAGCTCCGTTTTCACGGCTCTACGGAACTGCTGGAGGTCCCGTAGAGCTCTAATCTCATTGGGGAGCTCGTTCCACAGCGTTGGTGCCGCCAGGGAGAACGCCCTGGTCCTAGACATCGACAACCTGGTGTCCCTAGACTGGGGGGGGCGGAGGCGGTGTTGTTTTCCAGACCACAGTGCTCTCGGGGGAACGTACGGGGAAAGGCGGTCCCTCAGGTAGGCAGGCCCCTGACCATTAAGGGCTTTAAAGGTCAAAACCAGCACTTTGGATTCTGATCTCGCTGCAGGTGCTAATTTTCTGCCCCTCAGCATTCTTCCTCTGTTTAGATGACGCTGTTTACACTGTGCATTGTACCTAGGGTACCCTGAGTCTTTTTTCTGAAACACCCTTCCCACCTTCTGACTGGGATATAAGGACTGAGGGATCTCCATTCCAACTTGTATCTGATGAAGCGAGCTTTTGCTCTCAAAAGGTGATATCCCAGAAATCTTGTTGGTCTCAAAGGTGCTACGGGACTCGAATCTAGCTGGCTTAACTTTGGTTTTAGTTGACAGGCATTTCTTCGGTGGCTCAAGTGGTTAAGACGCTGAACTGCAGGCTGTGGAAGGTCAGTAGTTCAGCAGTTCGAGACCCGAGTGTGCCGCATGACGGAGTGAGCTCCCGTCTCTAGTTCCAGCTCCTGCCAACCTAGCAGTTCGAAAGCAAGAAATTGCAAGTAGATATATAGGTACCACTTCGGTGGGAAGGGAACAGCGTTCCGTGCGCCTTGGCGTTTAGTCATGCCGGCCACATGACCACGGAAACGTCTTCGGACAGCGCTGGCTCTTCGGCTTTGAAACGGAGATGAGCACCGCAACCCTAGAGTCGGATTCGACTGGCTTTCGAGCAAGGGAACCTTTACCTTTACCTTTTTATTTCTTTTTAATACAGGAAGATAACATGCTCTGTGTAATCTGTCAAGTCTAAGTGAGAAAGGCGGGCTGTAAATAGCGTCAATATAATAAATACATGACGGGGTGTGCCAGGACTTTTAGGCTGAGTCAGGAAATCTAAGGGCCAGTTCAGATATACAGAACCACAGTGTGATACCGCTCTTTCTGGACTATGCAACTTCAGAGAGCAGGTGGGGAACTGAATTTTGGAATGCTTTTCCGCATTAAAGAAAACAAGTCCCTGCATGTGGAAAGTTAGCACTGGCTTCCTGACAGGCTAGCTTTTTATATGAATGGAGGTCTATAAAATTGTGCCTGGGGTGGGGAGAGTTGACAAAGAGAACTTTTTCTCCCTCTCCCAAAAGACCAGAACTCCAATGGAACTGATGGGCGGTAGGTTCAGGACGGGCAAAAGGAAAGACGACTTTACACAGAGAGTGATTACAAGGTGGAATGTAGTGATGTCCCCAGGAATTAACAGCTTGGAAACCTTTAATAGATTCACGGAGGAGAAGTCTATTAATGGCTACTAGCACTGGTGGCTGAGGGGAACCTCCACATTCAGAGGCACTAATCCTCCCAATCCCAGAACCAGGAGGCAGCATCAGGGGAAGGCCTCAGCCTCTCTGCCCTGTTGTTGGCCAGCCACAGGAACTGGTCGGCCACTGTGTGAGACAGGATGTTGGACTAGGGGGACCACTTGTCTGATCCAGCAGGGCTCTTCTGATGTTCTTATGAAGGCCTCGGCTTCTCTGCCCTGCTGTTGGCCCTCCAGAGGAACTGGTTGGCCACCATGTGAGTGAGACAGGATGCTGGACTAGATGGGCCACTGGTCTGATCCAGCAGGGCTTCTTGTGTTCTTATGAAGGCCTCGGCCTCTCTGCCCTGTTGTAGGCCCTCCAGAGAAACTGGTTGGCCACTGTGTGAGACAGGATTCTGGACTAGATAAACCCTCACTGGTCTGATCCAGCAGGGCTCTTCTTGTGTTCTTACGAAGGCCTCGGTCTCTCTGCCCTGTTGTTGGACCTCCAGAGAAACTGGTTGGCCACTGTGTGAGACCGGATTCTGGACTAGATAAACCCTCACTGGTCTGATCCAGCAGGGTTCTTTTTGTGTTCTTATAAAGGCTTCAGCCTCTGTGCCCTGTTGTTGGCCCTCCAGAGAAACTGGCCGGCCACTGTGTGAGACAGGATGCTGGACTAGAGGGACCACTGGTCTGATCCAGCAGGGCTCTTCTTGTGTTCTTATGAAGGCCTCGGCCTCTGTGCCCTGTTGTTGGCCCTCCAGAGAAACTGGTTGGCCACTGTGTGAGACAGGATGCTGAACTAGATGGACCACGGGTCTGATCCAGCAGGGCTCTTCTTGTGTTCTTATGAAGTCCTCGGCCTCTCTGCCCTGTTGTTTGCCCTCCAAAAGAACTGGCTGGCCACTGAGTGAGACAGGATGCCGGATTAGAAGGACAAGAAGGAGCACGTTCGCGGGGAGGGCGGGGTAAAAATGCAAATAAATAAATAAATAATAATAAATAAATAAGACCACTGGTCTGATCCAGCAGGGCTCTTCTTAGGTTCTTACTAGGTTTGTTTTGTTTTCAAATAGGAGGATCATTCTAAGAAGCAATCCTCGACCAGGGTGAATTGTACTTTGGGCTGGTGCTATCCAATCGGTTGCTCATCTAATTCACTAAGCTTTCCCAGCACATGGTCCTTCTACCAGCCGTCACGCCGCACGAAGCACGCCAACTTGCCCCACCTCTGTAACATTATTTCATCCTTCCCCAGGTGGAGTATGACCCCGCAGACAGTCAACGCCTACTACCTGCCCACCAAGAACGGCATCGTCTTCCCCGCGGGGATCCTGCAAGCTCCCTTCTACGCTCGCAACCACCCCAAGTGCGTCAGGGTGCTTTGGCCGTTTGGTAGGAAAGAAGAGGCTTGGAGCGGAAGGGTGTAGCGAATGTACACTGCTGGACCGGGCATGCTCAGATCTGTTCTCAAAACGATTCAGGTGGCAGGGAAGCCCAGGGGACCAATGTTCCCTCTAAGCTGTGGAGTCTTGTGAGCAAAAATTCTGCTTTGTGAGCTACTGGCATTAAACTTGTGAGCGAGCGATTTGGCTACTGCATAAATCAATTTGCTCTGGAGCCATCCTTCCTGAGCGAAGACAAAAATGTGTGAGCCAAAGGCTAATAAACTGTGAGCTAGCTCACGCTAACTCAGCTTAGAAGGAAACACTGCAGGGGACATGAGATGGGTGGAACGAAGCCGCATGGGCAGATTTGGATGTGTAGACATGTGTATCCTAGTGTCTCCAGGGGTCATTTTGTAGAAAAAGTGGTGCAGGAGCTCATTAGCATGACCCATTAGCATAAATTATTTGCATATGCCACACCCCCTGGCATTACCGGAAGTGTGTCAGAAGGCAACCCCCACCGCTCAGGCTCCACTGGACTGTTTTGGATCTCTAGCTATGGGGGGGGGGAACGCACAGATCTGCCCTCACAGAGGAGAGAGAGCTTGTACCTGAAGGCGGGCTGGGGGGGGGGACTCTGCAACTTACCTGGCTGCTTCTTGCTCCTCCTGGCCCGACTGAGGGCTGCTGGGAGCAAGGGGTGGGGCTTGTTGCATGTGCCCGCCCCCTGGGCTCCTTACTGTCAGAGCTCTGCTCCGGCAGGAAATGACCCCCGAGCATCTCCTTGTAGAAGGCAAACATTGGGGGGTCGTGCTAATTGCTGGGCAATCTTGGACTGCAAAGTTGCAGCAGGCAACTGATTGTAACAGATAAAAGGGAGTCCTTCACCCCGAGAGTAATTAACACATCGAATTCACTGCCACAGGAAGTGGTGGCAGCAGCTACAAGCACAGACAGCCTCAAGAGCGGGTGGCTTTGGAGGTTTTCAGACAGAGGCTAGATGGCCACGTGACAGCCATGTGGATTCTGTGAACCGAGGCAGATCACGAGAAGGGAGGGCAGGAAGGGTTGCCTCAGTGCTCAGTTCTCGTGGCCCTTTCTCACACATTCGGGGAAATGCTGATCGCCACTTTGGGGCCAGGAAGCCATTTTTCTCCAGGTCACACATTTTTGTCTTGGCTCAGGAAGGATGGGCTCCAGAGCAAACTAATTGAGGCAGTAGCCAAGTTGCTTGCTCACAACTTTAATGCCAGTTGCTCACAAAGTAGAATTTTCGCTCACAAGACACCACAACTTAGAGGAAGCATTGGTAGGCCTATGTGACATAATGGTCGTATGTAATGTAACTTTGCTGGCCTTAAAGGTGCCACCGAATTCACACTTTTTTCCTGCGGCTTCATTTGGAATAATTGTTAAACCCAGCCATTTGTCTGAGTTCCAGTGCTGTGTGTGACCTTCGTCTGTGTGTGACTTAAAACGTTTGTCTCCCTGCCTTTTTGCACTGTACCTGAGGTGACATTCCAGCATCGTAACCTGTCGTTTTACCTTTGGCTTCCCTTGGAGGGCCCTCAACTTTGGAGGCATTGGCGTGGTGATGGGGCACGAACTCACCCATGCTTTTGATGACCAAGGTAGGCACAGTCCCCTCCGCTCCCTTCCGACTTGTGCTTGTGGCTTCTGCCCTCTCGCATGCCTGCCGCGTCCTTTTCAGGGAGGGGCCCTTAGGGTGGTGTGGACTTTTGTGAGCCTGGAGAGCGGTAGGGTTAGAACGGATAAAAGGAAGTCCTTCTTCACCCAAAGAGTGATTAACACATGGAATTCACTGCCACAGGAAGTGGTGGCGGCTACAAGCATGGACGGCTTCAAAAGCCGCCCTGAGCCCGCTCGCGGGATGGGCGGGGTATAAATATAATTAATAAATAAATAAATAAATAAATAAATAGGGAATTAGATAAGCATATGGAGCAGAGGTCCATCAGTGGCTATTAGCCACAAGGTATAGTTAGGGGCTCTGGGGCAAGTGATGCTCTGTCTTCTTGGTGCTTGGGGGGGGGTCAACAGTGGGAAGACATCTAGTGTCCTGGCCCCACTGGTGGACCTCCTGAGGGCACCTGGTATTTTTGGCCACTTTGTGACACAGAGTGTTGGACTGGATGGGCCTTTGGCCTGATCCAACATTGGCATCTCTTATGTTCTTATCAGAGGGGCCTGGAGATCGGGGGTGGGGGGGCTCATTCAACTTCCCATGCACAGATTTCAGGTTGGCCACTGCATTTGGACTCCACTCCACAGTGGTCCCCAACACCCCTTTCCTTAGCTGTGGGGAAGAGCCGTGCTGGCTGCTCACACCAGCGCGGGGCTCGAACTAACACAGTTCGGATGTTAAGACAGTGGGATATACCCACTGTGCCACCGCTCCCTGGGTTCAATCCCCAGCATCTCCAGTTAAATTATCTGGTAGTAGGTGATGAGAAAGACCTCCACCTGAGACCCTGGAGAGTTGCTGCCAGTCTGAGTAGACAGTACTGATTCTGATGGACCCAGGGTCTGATTCAGTGTACGGCAGCTTCACGTGTTCATTTCCAAAAGCACAGCCAGCCCAAGGTCTTTGCTGCTCTAGGCAAAACAGTTGAAGCAACCCGAGCTGCAGTGTTAGGAGAATCTAGCAACAAATAAATATGCACTGCAAAAACCTTATAACAAACTAATGTGTTCTGTTTATAATCATCATTTGGTAAAGTGCATAGTGTATCATTATTTCATCCTAGTCAGGTATAAATATTCATTACATTCAATATGCAGTAACATTCAGTACATACAGGTTGATAACTACCAGACCATTTTGCATCAGTGTTTTAAAAGTCAAGCCCCAACGGGAGTTTCCAGAACTAAAAGCCCACTTCTCCTTGCATGAAGTCTTCCAAAAAGGGGGGCAGCTTTCTTAATAGTTGTATGGATGCTTTCTTTTTTGCCGGTCCTATTTAAAAGACATAATTCATAAGTATAAAAATTATACATTATTACTAATATAACGTGGCTTCAAAGGTTTTCTTACCACATTATGCAGCTAAGATTCATGGACGGAGTACTCCTGTCATTCTCAAAGCTGCACAGTACTGACCTAGTTATCTGGTCATTAAATTCTTTCAACACCTGTTAACAATTCGTGTGAGTGTTCTCTAATTAAAGAGACCTTAGACCATAAGCAAAGGGAGAATGTCCTCTTTAACTATCAGAGAAAAGATTTGTTCTGGACTGAAATGCATACTTTAAGAAGTGTTATGTGAAGGTTTGTTACTGTCCCGTTGGGGCTTGGCTTTTAAAACACTGATGCAAAACGGTCTGGTAGTTATCAATCTGTATGCACTGAATGTTATTGCATATTGAATGTAATGAATATTTATACCTGACTAGGATGAAATAATGACACACTATGCACTTTACTGATGCTGGGAAAGATTGAAGGTCAAAGAAGACGGGGACGGCAAAGGATGAGATGGTTAGACAGTGTCATAGATGCAACGAACATGAAGTTGAGCAAACTTCAGAGGACGGTGGAAGACAGGAAGGCCTGGCGGGATCTGGTCCATGGGGTCGCGAAGAGTCGGACTCGACTGTGCGACTGAACAACAACAACAACATGCACTTTACCAAATGATGATTATAAATAGAACACATTAGTTTGTTATAAGGTTTTTGCAGTGTGTATTTATTTGTTGCTAGGCAAAACAGTGGCAGAGGATTCTGGAACGCACATTTTTCCTGCCGAGACTGCACAAACTGAGCCTTGAGTCGCTGGCACGGGGGGTGCCATTGTGAATTCGGCCGCTGCCGATAGCTTCTGGACTGCCCGTTCCCTCTAGGCTGAGTGCGTGTGAGCTAGCTCACAGTTTTTTTACGATCCGGCTCGCACATTCTTTGCCTTAGCTCAGGAAGGGATGTGGCTCTGGAGCAAACTCATTGATGCAGGAGCCCAATTGCTCGCTCACCACTTTCATGCCGGTAGCTCACAAAGTAGGATATTTGCTCACAGGACTCCACAGCATAGAGGGAGCATTGCTGCCCACAGGGCTGAATCGGCTCTGTGCCAAAAGACGCACTGCTTCTCTCTCCTTGGCTTCATCAGCCGCCACGCCGCTCATCCCCTCACTCATTCCCATGGCATCCCGTGCACCTTCTTGCATTACCCGTGGGAGTTTCCACAATCCCCCCCCCCCAACCGGCCACTGAGATACCATCTTCCTCTCTGGCAGTCGCTGCTTCCCCACATCTTTCCCCGCCCGTCTCCCCAGGTGACACCTCCCGTCATCCCACCAGGCATCTGTGTGCTGCTTTCGCTCCTGCTCCATCTGCTTGGTGAGAATTCACGATCTCAGCATGGGCGGGCCACAGATGGGAAGTCATCTCTCCCCCGCTGTTCCCTCCCTCCCCCTCTGCTGCTTGTTGTTGTTCAGTCGCACAGTCGAGTCCGACTCTTCGCGACCCCATGGACTAGCTCCCGCCAGGCCCTCCTGTCTTCCGCCGTCCTCTGAAGTTTGCTCAATTTCATGTTCGTTGCATCTATGACACTGTCTAACCATCTCATCCTTTGCTGTCCCCGTCTTCTTTGACCTTCAGTCTTTCCCAGCATCAGGGTCTTCTCCTTCTCATTTGGTGGCCAAAGTATTTGAGCTTCAGTTTCATTATCTGGCCTTCCAGGGAACAGTTAGGGTTGATTTCTTTTAGGATTGACTGATCTGATCTCCTTGCAGTCCAAGGGACTCTCAAGAGTCTTCTCCAGCACCATAGTTCAAAAGAATCTATTCTTCGGCACTCGGCCTTTCTTATAGTCCAACTCTCGCAGCCATACAGGACTACTTAAGGGCCCATTGAATAACCTCCCAGCCCCCTATATTCTTCTGGAACTGGGGACCTCTTTGTTTGACCCAACAGAATCCATCGCTTTTAGTGCTACAGTACCCAGCGTCTATAGGCAGCGTGGGACAGGCCCGTAGCTGCCGGGGGGGCCATGGGGCCCAGCCTCCCAGCGTTTTTATGGGCCCTGCTCCCCGAGCCTCGGCTCCAGTGTTCCCTCTAAGCTGAGTGAGTGTGAGCTAGCTCACAGTTTTTTAGCCTCTGGCTCACCCATTTTAGTCTTATCTCAGGAAGGAGGGCTCCAGAGCAAACTAATTTATGCAGCAGTTTAATCGCTCACTCGCAACTTTCATGCCAGTAGCTCACAAAGTAGAATTTTTGCTCACAAGACACCTTTGGGTAGTGAAGGGCGGGGTATACATCCAATCTCCTCTTCTTCTTCTTCTTCTACAAGTCCTTATGGTTGGGCAATGCCTGCAGAAATCTCATGGCTGAGTGTTGGCGGAACAGGGTTTCCCATGATAAGAAGACAGGGATTTGGTTGCCTTTATATCTCATCGTCCCTGCCACTTGTAGAAGCTGCAGATATTTCTTAAACATTCAATAGTATTCAATACATGAAATACAAGAAATACAATAGATAGGCTGGAGATTTGAAACAGTCTCTAACATTTACTCTTTGAAACTCCCCAAAGAAATTTTCCCAATTTAAATGGACTGAAAAACATGATTTTCAAATGTCCAGAAAGCAAATACATCCAGTTCTTGAAACTTTATAAAGTATGTAGCAATCAGCAAGTAGATCCAGTCCTTAGGACTTGAGACAAACAATAAGAAATAGGCTGCAGTCAACTCATCCTCCAGGTTACTCAATGAGTTTTTGGTTCCCTTCATCAGGACTGCAAACGGGGACTTCCAAAGAGGCACAGCCGCAGGAACGTCTCAGCCAACAATGCCTCCAAACGGTCTTATTGTACAGCAGTGTCTCAAAACTGCCTTATTTTCCTTTATTCGTGATGGATACGTGTAGCCTGATTCTATCTAAATGAATGTAAATTGTGAAATTTTCTTTTGGGAGTTTCAAAGACTAAATGTTAGACGTTGCTTCAAATCTTCAGCCTATCTATTGCATTTCTCGTACTTCATGTATGTTCAATGCTAATTCTGTGAACTGAGGCAGATCACAAGAGTGGGGGCAGGAAGGGTTGCCTCAGTGCATAGTTCTTGTGGCTTTTTCTTACACACCCAGGGAAATGCAGATCGCCACTTTGGGGTCAGGAAGCCATTTATCTCCACGCCAGTTCGGCTGGAGATCCTGGAGGGTTTTCTTGTCATCTTCTGGGCGTGGAACAGCGGTCACTGGGGGGTGGGGGGGATGTATTTGTGGATTTCCTGCCTTGTGCAGGGGGTTGGATTCGATGACCCTGGAGGTCCCTTCCAACTGTATGATTCTGTGATTCCACAAGCAGGCACACATTCGGGTTTCCTGTAGATATGCCCAGGGCTATTTTTGGGCAGGAACGCGCAGGAACGGAGTTCCGGCTGGCTCCCAAGTTGGCCACGCCCAGCAGGAACTCATTAACATAATAGGCCACACCCAACAGCAGAAACTCATTAGGATTGGCTACATTAGGGGTGTGTGGCCTAACATGCAAAGGAGTTCCTGCTACAAAAAAAGGCCCTGGGTTTTGACAACAAACAAGGTAAACAGAATAAGAAGCAAAAGGTGGGTGTGGCTGGATGGCCACACTTCTGGTAACATGGGGGTGCGGCCTAATATGCCAATGAGCTGTGCTGTCAGGGGTGTGGCCTCATATGCTAATGAGTTCCTGCTGTTGGGCGTGGCCTATTATGCTAATGAGTTCCTGCTAGGCTTTTCCTACACAAAGAGCCCTGGATATGCCATATGCAGAAGGTCCTCGGCCTCTCGAGCCGACCAGCAGTCGTACGCGCTAACAGAAGCCCTTGTTGTGTAGAACCTCCATCTTCAGGGGCAGCCGATCCCACGTGGCTGCCCTAGACAAAACCTTTGCCGATTTGTCCCCAGGCCGAGAGTACGACAAGGAAGGGAACCTGCGCCCCTGGTGGCAGAACTCGTCGCTGGAGGCCTTCAAGAACCGGACGGAGTGCATGACGGAACAGTACAGCACGTTCCTCGTCAACGGGGAGCACGTGAACGGCAAGCAGACCTTGGGAGAGAACATCGCGGACAACGGGGGACTGAAGGCAGCCTATAATGTAAGGCCGGCGGTCCCGGGGGGCATTGAGTGTCCCCAGCGGAAGGCGTGTGGGAGAGGAGAGGCGGTGGCCCTCAGGTGGCCTCGCCGTCTCCAGCTGCCGTGGGGGACAGGGAAGGGCCCTGTCAAGCCCAGAAGCAGAGGCTCCGTTCCCCATCCCTTTGCAGGCTTACAAAACGTGGCTGAAGAAGAACGGGGAGGAGAAGCGGCTGCCCTCCGTGGACCTCACCAGCCACCAGCTCTTCTTCCTCGGATTTGCGCAGGTAACCCCTTTCCACGTGTCTCCCGCTCCGCGTACCTGCAGTCATCAGTGCTGTCAGCCAGGGGGGGCAACCAGGGTTCCCTCTAAGCTGAGTCAGTGTGAGCCAGCTCACAGTTTTTTAGCCTACAGCTCACACATTTTTGTCTTCGCTCAGGAAGGAGGGCTCCAGAGCAAACTAATCTGTGTAGTAACCAAATCGCTCGCTCCCAACTTTAATGACAGTAGCTCACAAAGAAGAATTTTTGCTCACAGGACTCCACAGCTTAGAGGGAGCATTGGTGGCAACCAGGGTTCCCTCTAAGCTGAGTCAGTGTGAGCTAGCTCACAGTTTTTAGCCTCCGGCTCACAGAGTTTTTGTCTTCGCTCAGGAAGGGATGGCTCCAGAGCAAACGAGTTGATGCGGCAGCCAAATCGCTCGCTCACAACTTTGATGCCAGTGGTTCACCAAGTAGAATTCTTGCTCACAAGACTCCACAGCTTAGAAGGAACATTGGTGGCAACCAGAGGAAAAATTCTACTTTGTGAGCTACAGCCAGTTTGGTGTAGTGGTTAAGTGTGCAGACTGTAATCTGGGAGAACTGGGTTTGATTCCCTGCTCCTCCACTTGCACCTGGCTGGATGACCTTGGGCAAGCCATAGTTCTGATAAGAGCTGTCCTTGAAAGGGCAGTTTCTGTCAGAGCTCTCTCAGCCCTACCTACCTCACAGGGTGTCTGTTGTGGGGACGGGAAGGGAAAGGAGTTTGTAAGCCACTCTGAAACGCTGAGTGAAGGACGGGGAAAAATCCAATCTCCTCTTCCTCCTCCTCTTTATTAAAGTTGTGAGTGAGTGATTTGGCTACTGCATACATTAGTTTGCTCTGGAGGCATCCTTCCTGAGCTAAGACAAAAATGTGTGAGCCGGAGGCTAAGAAGCTGTGAGCTAGCTCGCACTAGCTCAGCTTAGAGGGAATACTGGTGGCAACTCCAGTTTGGGAAGTTCCTGGAGGTTTCGGGATGGAGAGGGGTTTGGGGAGGGGAGGGACATCTCTGGAGTATAATGTTACAGAGCCCACTCTCCAAAGCAGCCGTTTTCTCCAGGGGGACTGATTGCTGTCGTCTGGAGAAGAGTTTTAATTCTGGGCAATCTCCAGACTCCTCCTGGACGTTGGCAACTCCACTCTCAGCATCCTTTAAAATGGTTCCTTTGCATTTTGGAAGGGGGATTTCTGTGGTTTATATTCGATATTATTTATTTTATCTGTTTAAAACATTTTTATGCCGCCTTTCTACCCGATCAGGGTCCACAAGGCAGCAGACATAAGAAACATTAAAACGCTGGAGCAGTTTGGTGTAGCGGTCAGGATGCGGACTCTAATCTCGGTTTTGGCCACTGTGTGACACAAAGTGTTGGACTGGATGGGCCATTGGCCTGATCCAGCGTGGCTTCTCTTATGTTCTCACGACTCTCTTAACCTGCATCTCCCAGATCCTAATTTGACACTCTAACCACTTCCATACACAGGCTATCAGGCCTTTCTGGAAGGACTATCACTTTCTGGCAAGGGATGCTCTGTCTTCTTGGTGCTTGGGGGGGGTCAACAGTGGGAGGGCTTCTAATGTCCTGGCCCCACTGCTGGACCTCCTGATGGCACCTGGTATTTTCGGCCACTGTGTGATAGAGTGTTGGACTGGATGGGCCATTGGCCTGATCCAACAGTGGCGTCTCTTATGTTCTTATGACCGGCTGCCTCCCCAAGTCCTAATCCTCCTCTTCTTCTTCCCGGCACAGGTCTGGTGCTCCGTCCGTACCCCCGAGAGCTCGCACGAGGGCCTGGTGACCGACCCGCACAGCCCAGACAAGTTCCGGGTCATCGGCACCCTCAGCAACTCCCGGGATTTCGTCGAGCACTTCAAGTGCCCCGCAGGCTCCCTCATGAACCCCGGAAGGCACTGCGAGGTGTGGTAGAGCCAGAAAGAGAGGCCGCCCGTGGTGGGAGTCTGTACATACCTACGGCTGCTCCCCCCCTGCACAAACCCCAGCACACGGGAGCTAAGCCCTGGTGCCCACCCTTTGGGGAGCAGTCAACCATCTTTGCCTCGGCAGCTTCAGCCGGCACAGTGCAGGCCTCGGGCTCTTTCCCACTTGGGCGCCGGAAGAAAGGCGAGCTCCTCCGGCACTCTCTGCCGAGTCCCGTTCCCTTGGGGGGCGCCCCGAAAAGCACAGCTTCACTCTCGTCCGCTAAGCGCATCACTTGCTCCCGTCCGTGGGCATTGCCGAAAATCTCAAGTCCGGCTTCCTAGGCTTTCATTCCCCGCCCTTTCTCCCCTCTGGGACCTGTTTCCCCGATGCCCTGTGGTGGTCCGGCACTTTGGACTTCTCACTGTGTTCATTCCGGTTCTCTAGGCCGCTGTCAGCTAAAGCACCATCGCTATCGATCGGCATTTTGGAGGCGGGCAGAGCTGAATCGCTTGGGGAACGTTAAGCTATTGGGGGGGGCGGGGGGGAAATAGAGCATTCGAACCAGGGTTGCCAGCCTCCAGGCGGGAACCGGGGATCCCCCGGAACCACAGCTCATCTCCAGGCCACAAAAATCAGGCCGGGAAAAAACGGCTGCTTTGGAGGGCAGACTCTATGGCATCGTCCCCCACTGAGCTCCCTGTCCTCCCCAGGCTCCATCCCCAAATCTCCAGGAGTTTCCCAACTTGGAGCTGGCAACCCTGCCCCTGCCCACATCTGGTGGAAGGACCTGGCGATTCTATTTGGAAGGCATGCGGGCGGGGGGGGGGAACAAGCTTTGACCCTGGGCACACCCCGGGAAGTATAAGGATGCAGAAGACCCCTGGTAGATCAGAAGATCTCTCTAGGCCTGCGTTCTGTTTGCACCTGGGGCCAGCCAGATAACTGGAGGGGGAGGGGGGCTTAGCTTGAAGGCAAGTACCCTTCTCTCCCCCCCCCCCATGCCCAGTGTCTGGTTTTCAGAGTTCCCATTTCGCTAATCGTCATTGACCGGTCCTCCGTGGAATCTGTCTTAACCTTTTATAAAGCCATCTAAGCTGCCGCCGGCCCCGGTGTCTCCCCGCCCGGCTCAGTGGATGGAGCGTAGCCGAGATCGGCTACCCCAGAGCACCCCCTGACCGAGGGAGATTTAGGAAGCCGTCCCTGTATCCTACGCTACAAGTATCCAAAGAAGCAACACGGGCTCTTGGTCCGGGTGAAGCCGGGATTCTCCGCCTCCTGCTTGCCCGGGATACAGAACCTCCCGTTGCGTGTTGCTTTTATCGTTTCTGCTATAGCAAAGGGAGACGTGCTGCATCAAACACAATCCCATCCAGTCACTGTGGAGAGAGAAATCTCCTTCTGGCTAGTGTCGCGCCCGCCAAGCATCCCCCTCCGTGCCCTCCCCCTGCCAAGAAAAATCCCCCCCACCTCTGTCATTAGATCAGGGGTCCCCAACATGGTGCCCCGGGTGCCCGCCGCCATCTTTCTTGGTGCCCTCCAAAAGTTTTTAGAAAGTGGGTGGGGCCAAGTGGCGTTTCCCCCCCCCCAGCAAGGCTTGATTGGCTATTGTAAATTTGATGGACTTTGCGGATTGTTAAAAGCCTTGCTTTGGCAGCCACCACCGCAGCACAAGGATCTTCACTGTGTGGCTGAACATAAGCCGTGGCAGCCATTTTGCGGGCGGCTCCACCCCCTATGGCAGCCATTTTGTGGCTGTGCCCACCATGATCTAATTCTAACGGTGCCTGCGGGCTCAGAAAAGATTGGGGACCCCTGCATTAGTTGATCCCAGGGCAGGTGCGGAGTGCCCTGTTGAAAGCACACGAACCCCACCGCAGCTGGACATTCGGGGGCCTCTGGCCCCAAGAGCGAGGGGCCTGGCTCGGCTTCGGAGGGTCCCCCTCGAGCCCTCACGTCCAGGCCCACGATCACTTTCAGACTTCGCTTTGGCTTCGAAATCCCAGACGTGCTCCCATTCCCCTTGAGCTTGGTGGGGACTAGTGCCTTCGATTAGTGTGTGTGTGTGTGTGTGTGTGTGTTTCAGGGAGGGGAGGGGTGCCATTGGTGTATCGAATTATTAAAAGGCAGTTTCCGCTTGATGGTTTCCGAGTGGTCTTCAAATGTGAGTGGCGAAAATAAAATTGAAAAAAAATGGGGGAAAGAATATCTGCGAAACGGCAGCTTGGCCTCTTGCTTTTAGCCAGACCGCTCTGGAATCGGGGGTGAGGCTGCACCGAGATGTGGCCAAAATCCGTACTTGAGCATGGCAGTCGCTGAGGTGGTAAACTTAAGGCTGGAAAAGTAGAGTTGCTGAGCCCCAAGTGGATACAAAAAAGGGGGAAATCCTCCGTATAATTAAACCTCCAAAAATACTCAAAGACACTAAATATAATGCTTACCAATTAGTTACATAATCAGCAATAACAAGCATACGACACAGTCTCAACACAGACCTTGTAAAAAATGTAAAGGTTCCCTTGCTCAAAAGCCAGTCGAGTCCGACTCTAGGGATGCGGTGCTCATCTCCGTTTCAAAGCCGAAGAGCCAGCGCTGTCCAAAGATGTTTCCGTGGTCATGTGGCCGGCATGACTAAACACCAAGGCGCACGGAACGCTGTTACCTTCCCACCAAAGTGGTACCTATTTATCTACTTGCAATTTCTTGCTTTCGAACTGCTAGGTTGGCAAAAAGGGGGGAAATCCTCCGTATAATTAAACCTCCAAAAATACTCAAAGACACTAAATATAACGCTTACCAATTAGTTACATAATCAGCAATAACAAGCATACGACACAGTCTCAATACAGACCTTGACATTCGTATAAATAAATTGTGCAAATAGGGAAGGATCCACGTTCATGAGCCACAGAACAAGGGGTTCAAATGTAAATTGCAAATCCGGAGAAGTGAAGGCTGAAGGACTCTGAATTGTGCCTTTGAGAACTTTGAAATGGGATGATTGGGAGTACCGTTTCTAGACAGTTAATAGGCATATATCTAGGCATATAATCTATGTGTGTGTGTATACATCTTTTAAGACTGAATTAGTGGGAGGGGTGCGTTGCCATAGTTCCTGAACTCCTTTTAGAATCCCTCTCCTTTTTTAATATACAGGTCCATATGTGTGTGTGTGTATAAGCAAAAAAGGAGTATATATCTTGAAAGATGTTTATTACCAACAACATTTCCAGGCGGCTGCCTTGAAAGCCGGTCTCCATCGCAGGCAGCTGCTTCAATCAGAGCGGAAAAACTGCAAGATCAATAACAGGCGGCAGTGCCGGCTTGGTCCCTTCCCCATTATAAAGCACAAGAGGGCAAACAATGAAGCGGATCGTCATTATTCTCTCTTGAATTGTAACTGCTGAAAACAGCCTCCTAGCGGACCTTCCGGTAGCTGCTGACTGGAAAACGAAACCAGCCTAAAGACACTGGAGGATTTACAGTGTTCCCTCTAAGCTGAGTGAGTGTGAGCTAGCTCACTGTTTTTTAGCCTCCAGCTCACACGCTTTTGTCCTAGCTCAGGAAGGATGGCTCCAGAGCAGACGAATCTATGCAGCAGCCAAATCGCTCGCTCACAACTTTAACGCCAATGGCTCACAAAGTAGAATTTTTGCTCACAAGACTCCACGGCTTAGAGGGAGCATTGGAGGAACGCTGCTACATCAAACCAATGCTTTTTCCTGCAGCGACTGACCCTGTGGCTAGCATTCTGTAGGGTTGCCAACTTCCAGGTGTTGGCAGGAGATCTGGAATTACAACTGACCTCCAGGAGACAGAGATGCGTTCGCAGAGAGAAAACGGCCACTCAGGAAGGTGGACTCTATGCCTTATACCCCAATGAAGTCCCTCCCACTTCCCAAACCCCACCCTCCAAGTCCCTGGGTATCTCCCAACCCAGAGCTGGGAGCCCTGTTTCAAAAGCAAACTGCTTCTGGGTACTGAGGTCCCATTTCAGCATTGTGGGTAATTAGCCATTGACACACCTGGCCCCCGTGGTATTCTCGAATCCCCCTTTTAAAAACCCATTTAAGCTAACACTCGTCCCTACATCCAGCGGCAGCGAGTTCCATAAGTTAATTGTGCTTCGTATAAAGAACGGAGCAAAGTTGTTTTTCTGTTGCCCGGAAGGTCGGACCAGAACCCACAGGTTGAAATGAAACCCAAAGAGTTTTGTAAACATTTGGGAGAATTTCCTGACAATGAGAGCAGTTCCTTCGGGGGGAACGGGGAGGCGGTGGGCTCTCCTTCTTTGGAGGTTTCTAAGCAGAGGCTAGATGGCCATCTGACAGCAATGCCGATTCTGTGACTCTCTGGGTGCGTTCAGACGGGGCGTTTCTGCCGGCATAAACTGCACCGGTTCCAACCGGTGCAGTTTATGCCGGCAGAAACGCAATCAGACTCACCCTCCTGTCTGCGGAGCCCTCCGGTGGACGCCCGCTCACACACTGCGGGCGTCGGCGTTTTTTTTTTTTTTTAAAGGACTGTTTGAGCATGCGCACAGGCAGCCATTCAGAGAATGGCGATTTTTGCGCATGCTCAACCCCCCCCCCACATTTAAACTTTAAAGGTAAGCACTTACCTTTAAAGTTTAAAGCCCAACCTGGCCTCGCTTAAGTCCCGGATTCCTCCGGGACGGTAAAGTAAGGGCTTTTTAAAATTATTTTAACAAACGCTCAGGGCGAAGCTTCGCCTGAGCGCATATCGCCTAGTTTTTTTAAAAAATGGCAGGGGAAAGCCGGAAGCCTCAGGCTTCCGACGGAAGTGGCTGCGCAACGGAGGAGAGCGATCAGACGCCGGGGTGCACCGTTTTCAACCGTTGCACTCAGTATACCACCACTTCGGACCTAGTGGCAGAGTGCAACGGTTTAAAAGGATTTACAACGGTTAGGGACGGGAGGCAAATGTTCGCTGTCTGAACGCCCGTAAGTACACCGGTTGGAACCGGCACCCTAACCGTTGTAAATCCCCCGTCTGAACGCACCCTCTAAGAACTGAGGCAGATCCTGAGGGGGAGGTGAGGACTGCCAAACTCCACGCCCCATTGGTAGTCCTCCAAACCCCGCCCTCATCAGGCTCCACCCACAAACCCCCAGGTATTTCCCAATCCGGAGCTGGCAAACCTAGGGGGAGGGGCAGGCCGGGACGAACCGGCACAAAGCTCTGGTGGCCCCTTTCTTATATGCTGGGGGTAATGCCACTTTGGGGTCAGGAAGGAATTTTCCTCCAGGCCAGATAAGCCCGGGGGACCCTGGAGGTTTTTTCCTTCCTCTGGGCACAGAGCAGGGGTCACTGGGGGAATGGGGGGGGCAGGTAGCCGTGAATGTCTTGCATTGTGCTGGG